CTGCTTTCAAAATAATGGGGCCAACCACCATTATGTCAAGAGCCTGAGAGCGCTGGTGTGAAATGTGCCTTTTTCTAAATTAGATTTTGGATAATCTGTTATGGAAGTAGTCTTTAGGTTGGAGTCTGTAGAAGCCAGTAAACCTCATAGAGGCCATCTGGTCCAAGCTCCTTGCTTTATAGAAGATAAACCATTGAGGCAGACCTGTAAAGTTGTTCTATCAATGATATGTTTGAGTGATTCTAGCCATTTAATAAACTAGTTTGTGACCGATGGTGGATAGTATTATGAGTAAGCAGGAGTTATGAGAATCATCCAAGGCTAGTAAACTAAGCAAAGCTCATGGGAGCTCACAGGATAATTAGCCTCATCTCCTCAACCCAAGGTGGGGCTAACCAAGTATGACCTGGGCTAGAAAGGGTGTAAAGTCAAAAGTGAGGCACGTGCTGAACAAAGGACAACTAGCTCAGTTGCTTCTAGAAGAAAACAGAAGGTGAAAAGGAAGGAGAGAAGATACAGTCCTTCCTTGAGTTCCTGGACAGAGGCACAGTGTGATGAGTAATGCCCAGTGCCCTTCTGAGCTTAGATTTGAAATATGCCCCTTTTGTAACAACAGGGCCAGCCCGTAATCACACTTTTCCTAGAGTGGTTTGGTATCCTGTGAATGTATGCCAGATGTCCCCTGACATGCTAAGTAGCAGGGGGAAGCTGGTCTGAGATGGTAACTTGCCACTTAGAATTCATCCAGGCAAGGAGACAGTCTGCCTGGAATTATCTCAGGCTCTAAGACATGCCATCAAGTGACCTTGGGCAAGTCATTTAGTTTGTTGGAACTTTAATCTCCTTATCTGTAGAATGGGTATATTACCTGCTCCAAAAGATTGTTGTGAAGATTAAATAGGATAATGTGCATATGTCCCTAGTGAGATGTGAAACACATCCATGATTAAGAAATGTTACCATTGTTGGTGTTAAAGAGGATGGTTTAGTGTTGACTGGATCAGGCACGGTTGTTCTTTGCTTCTGAAATTAAGAGGGACTTGGAGGAATTGTAGAGAAGCTTAGGGGAGAGAGACAGGCACAATCACAGGAAGAAAGTACTATGGAGAGAGAAATTGTAGGGCAGACTAGAAAAACGAAAGCTTTTCCAGTTCTCAGCTGTGCTGAGAGCAGGGTAAGAACAGAGCCCCAGCTCCTGCGTGAGGGGCTGGAGGTAGATTTATGGGAGAGATTTCTTGGCAGTGGAAGGTATTAAATGTTACTAGGCAGAGTTTTGCTCATCTTCTGGGATTGCTTGGTCAGCCGTTTCTAGAGCCAAAGAGGTGGTGAGATGCCAGGAATCCAGCCGCAAGTTCTCAGTTCCGAGAACTGGAAGCAGCAAGGGTAGGATGGAGCCACCCCTAAAAGCTGTGTGTGGCGAAGGTTTTCAGACACATCTGATTCACTGAACTCTCTTCTGCTGACACGCAGTCCTTGACAGAGACAAGCAACTCGGGTTTCTGTTAGTCTTGCTGTGTCCTCTTGCAGGAGACTACTGAGGCAATTTTCCTTGTCTCTATAAAGCCAAGGTGGCTGAGGCAGAGGATCTCCTGACGTGCCCCTGCTGACCAGATTCCCTGGAAACCCATGAGTGCACTCTTGCACCGCAGCAAGAGCAGCAGAAGATGGACTACCCATGACCTCGAGGTCAGATGAGCCCATGTGGGAAGCCGTGAGTCTTCAGCGATGTGAGCGTTAGCAGCTGGATTCTGAGTTTATTCAGATAGGAGGTCTGACTCCAGCCTTGATGATCAAGGAGAATGAGAAAAGCATCATCACGCTGGAGAGGCTGGATGCCCCCCTCTGAGGAGAATCCTGTGAAACACTGTCATTTCCCAACGCACACAGCTCGTAGAGTTCGCCTTTGTCTCTAGCTCTTTTCCTGGGACTGTGTCTCCCAGGAAAGGAGTGAGCTACCCTCCCTTGGGAGCAGTGGCTCCCAAAGGCACCAGCTGGATTATCCTTCATAAAATTTCCTGTAAATCCCTTTCATGTAAGGGGACATTTCTTCACAACCTCCCCTTTGAGTCCAGCCTTTTCATCCCTTAAAGATCCCCGTGTGTCACCCTGACTCCTCTTTAAGCTTTCAATGGCCTTAACAGTCCAGTTGAGATGTCTTTGGAGCCTCTTGACATCCAGCCTAGCTTCTGTTTTTCCAATTTGGGAGAGAAGGATCTCCCCAACTTTACTGAATAGCCATCGAGGAGAGAAGGACTTCTCAGCTGAGATGGCAAGAACAATATTTGAGGAAAACATCATGGAATAGCTTCACCAGAGAGGCTCATTAAAACAAAAATATCTTTCTCCTTTATCTCTTTTGCCCTTGAATTTTGGTATTCTTTGGTTTGAGTAAGAAAGATCTTCCCAAAACTGACTGTCAGTAGTAGGAACAAGTAGGGTATCAATCTTTAAAGAGAGAGGCAGTATAGAATAGATGCTGCAAGTCAAGCTTTGGCACTAGTGCTTCAGAATCCAATCATAACTGGCCTGTGACTTTGGCAAGTCTGTTGACTCTGCTGAGCCTCTGTTGGAAAATGAGAGGCATGCCCCCAGGTTTGCTGTGGTTTTCAACGTGATGATGGGGGTAGAGATGGAGCCGAGCCGGTGCTCGGCCCACAGTGAGCGGCAAGGTGGCAGCCCTGACTGTGACCTCTGCCTTTAAGATACTCTTCCCTGTATTTTTGAACTTTGGCCTGGTTCCCAGTGGCTTCTCCTTCTTTGGGACGATTCTGTGGTTGCTAGCCCGCATCCTGTAAATGAAGGATGCTGTAGCCTTTTTATAGGCCCAGCTGCAGTGTGTCCAGGAAGCCACAGGGGACCTCTGTGCTCACTTCCCCTTTTTCCATCCTGAATGCTTTGCTGGTCATGTGTGCTTACAGGGCTGCATGCTAAGGTGTGAATTAAATGTCCACAGGGTCACAAATTGGTTTCTGCAGGTTTGGGTCCCACATGGAAGTAATATGCTGACTGAACTTCCATGTAACCCCACGGTTCCCAGCTCTCAACAGATTCACTAAACTGGCACCAGAGCCTCCTGTCTTCAAATCTCCTTCTCCTTCTGGTGCCCCTGACGTTGTGTTGTCTGACCATTTGGGCAATTCCAGGTTGATGGGTGGGAGGAAGCTGCTGCTTGGCATCAGGCTTCTTTGGTACTGAGAGCTGGATGCAATTACAGTTACAGATGGTAACCGATTAACCACATAATGGATTAACCCCTTCAGTAGCCACTGTTGTATATGTGTGTGTGCTGGTGGGACAGATGAGAACATCTACATAGAGAGATGACATGGGGTAAACTGTTACCTTCTTTTTTCTTCTTTTCTCCTCTTGAATTCATTCATTCTGCAAACATTTACCGAACACTTGCTACATGCCATGTATTGTCCCAGCAGACTAATTACCTCCACATATGTTTCATCATTCCTTCCCCTTGATAAAAGGATAAAATACCTGCCAGTTCTATGACACACCCTCCCCTGATGGCTGATGGAGAGAAGCTAGGTGCCCGTAGGACAGGAGCCCCACTGTGCCAGCCAGACCCCAGCTAGCCCATGAGCCCAACAGGGGCACTGAGACAGGGCTCCCGCCACCCTGTCCTCATTCCACCAGCACCCACTAACTGAACCCAGCCCCGCCTGGAAGCATGCCCGCTCTCACTCCAGGCACCCATTAACTGAACCCAGCCCCGCCCGGAAGCATGCCCGCTCTCACTCCAGGCACCCATTAACTGAACCCAGCCCCGCCTGGAAGCATGCCCGCTCTCACTCCAGGCACCCAGTAACAGTACCCGCCCCACCTGGAAGCATGCCCGCTCTCGCTCCAGGCATGTCTGAGGGCTCCCAGACCCTGGCAGCCCCACCACTCCTCCAGCTGAGTCAGAGACCCATTAAATCCATGGGTAGGCCCAGCTTGGATTTATATTTGTAACTCTCCTTGTTGACAGTCATACGCCTTTTGAGCAAAGGTGACCCCTCCAGTTTGTCCTTGCTTTGGGGTTCCTGGTTAGAGAACCCTTGTTCTTCCTCGTCCCATCTCATTCATTTCCGTAGAACCGTGCAGAGAGCTCTAAGGGAGAGGTGAGGCTCCAGTAAGGTGGGGTCTACTGCGCTGGGGTGTCCCCAGACGTGCATGACCCCTTCCACAGGGAAAGAGCCACCCTGAGCGTGTCGCCTCTATGAGCCCCTGTCCTTGGAAAGCTGTGTGTGTGTCACTGATTGCAGGCCCCAGGGCTGCTCCAGCCTGGTTGAATGGTGGAGCGGCTCCTCCATCTTGGCTGCGCTTGCCTCTCACCCCTCCCTCAGTCTCTCACATCCAATTAACACCCTCCTCCCAGCCGTGCCAAAGTCATTAGTGAAGCAGCAGAATGGTTTTTAGCCCCACAGTGATTTCCTGTCATCCCTGTTCATTAATTCTCCTCCTGTCTTTGCTAAACCATTAATAATGCTCCTTGCATCTCTGACTGTTCATCTGAGTCTTTGTGGCTTTATCCCAGCTCCTTGTCTCCAGGGTCCCAAAGAGCAGGTTGTCTGTCCTGTGGCCCCAAACTGAGACGGCCTCCCTGGGGCCACCCCTGGCCTCTGGATCCCAGCACAGGATGCGCAGGGAGTGGACTGTCCCTGACCAGGCAACCCTTGCCCTTTCCAGGGCCGGAAAGGCTTACTGAACTGGGGGGACGCTGGGCTCCTCTTGGCAGAGCCTCTCAGAGCTTAAAGCTGCTCACACACATGTGCGGGTGGGGCCGAGGAGCCCCGCGCTTCCTAACACACCTCTCTTAATGATGCCCCAGCCCCTGGGGTGGTTTCAGCGGTGCGGCAGGGGGCGGGGGTCTGAGGCTGGTGCCTCTGAGGCTAAGGGCATCATCAGGAGGGCACGATGACCTTTCTCTCTAGTCCAACAGCTCGGCCCAGCTGGGACAGCCCTCTGGGCAGTAAGCTCACAGAGCTTGTTCCATCCTGTTTCAGCCCGAGGAGTTGCAGAGAGAACACCCAGCTTCATGTATCCCCAGGGCACTGCGAGCAGTCAGATGGTGCTGCGTGGCATGGACCTCCTGCTGGAGTGCATCGCCTCTGGGGTGTACGTACGGTTTGCACCCCTGCTTCTGCCCGCCCCCCAGGAGGATGGGTTGGGGATTTGTGCATGCTCTGTTGTTGCAACATTTTGCAGGGGGTGGGGTGGGAGAGAGAAGCAGACAGCTCCTAATGAGGACGCTGCCAATCATAGTCATCCCATTCTGGCTGCCTTTCTTTCTGAGATAATGAAGAGAGGAGGTAGCTAGGCTTCCTGTATGTGTGAGACCCCCTTAGCTGAGTCCTTTGTGTGCCCTATGGCTGAGCATCCCCTCTGCACAGGAGGGATCAGCTCTCGAAGGACATGCATCCTCCTGAGCCCAAGTAACCGTAAGGACACCCAGGTATCCTGGGCTCCACACAGGTGTGGCACAGCCACATTTAGCCCCTGTTTCTTGCTTGGTCTCTCTTAGCCCAACACCAGACATTGCATGGTACAAGAAGGGTGGGGACCTGCCATCTGACAAGGCCAAGTTTGAGAACTTCAACAAGGCCCTGCGCATCACCAATGTGTCCGAGGAAGACTCTGGGGAGTATTTCTGCCTGGCCTCCAACAAGATGGGCAGTATCCGGCACACGATCTCGGTGAGAGTGAAGGGTACGTTGTGCGCATTTCTCATTATGACGGTCTTCCAGCCCTCGACTCCACGGCCACCCCCCCTCGGGGTGGGTGCGTGAGTGGGGAAACACCAGCACGCTGATGAGTGGCAACAGTGACCTGCAGGAGTGGCGTCACCCCCCGGGTGTATGTGCGTGTGTCAGGGCAGGAAGGAAGGGGAGTGTCACAGGTGGAGACTCCCCCACCGTTGCCCTCCTCCCCTGAGCGCCTGGGGCTCTCTCAGCAGGTGCACTCTCTTCTGTGGCCCGTTTGGATGACCCAGAACCTGTCTTTCATTTCGCATTCCCATTCATAGTGTGTTATCTTAGCCCTATGCTGTCTGTGTACTTGAACGTGGTTCTTTTTAAAAATGGGGAGGGATCATGGCCTGAATTATTTTTCCTGAGCTGTTGTCAGCAATGGAGCACATGTCTTTGTGGGTCCCAGCCATGGGGCTGGGGGGTCCACCAGTCACTTCTCAGTCTGAATGGCGGGGCTGAATGGATGATCAGGGTGATGAGGTTGAATACCACAGAGCAAGAACTTTCTTAGCACATGCTCATTGACTTGTGACCTTGGTTTCAGCACCACACTCAGAATAGGGGTGCTTAACTTTTATTGGGGTTTCAAGATCTTTGAACTCTGATCTGAAGGACCCTCTTCTCAGAAAAATCCACATATTCACAAAATTTCCAAACAGTTGGAAGGAGTGGCCAGCTAAGAGCTTCTGCTAACCAAAACTCAACGGGAAAAGAATGAACAGCACGCCTTTCCTAAGTGGTCTGATCTTGCAGCAACAGCAGTGGAAATCCAGAGAGGCCAGCCCCTGCTACTTTACCACCCTCCCCGGCTTGAGCCCTTGGGCACACATCAGGAGTGCCTGGGTAGCTTGCAAATCATTGGCCACCTGGGCTTCCCCTGGGGATTCTGACTTAGTAGGTTGAAGATGGGCTCTAGCATTCATGTGTTTTAAAAGCTCTTCAGGAGGCCCCAGTTTAGAACTCCTGTTCAGTGAACTTGAAATAAACCAGTCCGCATCTGTAGTGCCAAGTCGACCAAAGGTCTGGACCGTCATCCCATCAGGACGAGCCCTGGGCAGGTGGTGGGGGCATGGGGCTGGCACTCGGGGGCTCCTGCCTTCCGAGAGGGAGCCCACTTGGTTTCCTCTGCCTGCTTGTGTCATTTGACACCCTTGCCTATGCCTGTCCTTGTCTTCCAGCTGCTCCCTACTGGCTGGATGAACCCAAGAACCTCATCCTGGCTCCTGGCGAGGATGGGAGACTGGTGTGTCGAGCCAATGGGAACCCCAAGCCCACGGTCCAGTGGATGGTGAATGGGGAACCTTTGCAATGTGAGTAACTGCCACTGTCCTGCCTGTCTCTGCTCTCCCTCCTGGGAGCATCCAGCTCCCCACCCCCGTGGACCAGCTCTGTGCCCTCAGAAGTGAGGGGCAGCCCATCCCTTTGGGCCCTTCAAGATGGGGGAAGCCTGCCTCCTTTGTGTGCAAGAGAACAGGAGGCCCGTGCCCATGTTTAGGGGATTTCTGCTCCCTGGGGCTTCTGCATAAATTTCTGCTTTCTGCCCTTAATAACTGACGAGCTCAGTCCAAGAGCTGGGGACCTCAGCTGTGTCCCTGAGATTATTGGCTCTGGGACACGGGGCTCAGGAGGTAGAGGAGACCTTGGTAGCTCATTGCCATTGCCCCCCACCAAACCCCTCCCTCTGCAGAGGGTATAAAAGAGGCAGGGTTGTGTGACAACATGAAAGATACGGTCAGAAATGAGGGGATGCCCCTAGGAGAGCAGGGATGCGCGGTGCAGTTACTGAGTGCACACTGGCCTCCAGCAAGACTTAGTTCCACCCAGATGCAGGGGTGCGTGGCTCCAGGATCCTTCCGCCAGAGGTCTTGGTCAAAGTTTCACGTCTGAATTACTCTAGTTGCATTTACTTTTTTAAAAATAACTTTATTTATTTGTTTTTGGCTGCACTGTGTCTTCATTGCTGCACAGGCTTTTCTCTAGTTGTGGTGAACAGGGGCCCCTCTCTAGCTGTGGTGAACAGGGGCCCCTCTCTAGCTGTGGTGAGTGGGGGCCCCTCTCTAGCCGTGGTGACTGTGGGCCCCTCTCTAGCTGTGGTGACTGTGGCTCCTCTCTAGCTGTGGTGACTGTGGGCCCCCCTCTAGCTGTGGTGACTGTGGGCCCCTCTCTAGCTGTGGTGAGTGGGGGCCCCTCTCTAGCTGTGGTGACTGCGGGCCCCTCTCTAGCTGTGGTGACTGTGGCCTCCTCTCTAGCTGTGGTGACTGTGGCCTCCTCTCTGGCTGTGGTGACTGTGGGCTCCTCTCTGGCTGTGGTGACTGTGGGCTCCTCTCTGGCTGTGGTGAGTGGGGCTTCTCTCTGGCTGTGGTGAGCAGGGGCCGCTCTCTAGCTGCGGTGTGCGGGCCTCTCACTGCAGTGGCCTCTCTCCTTGTGGAGCTCGGGCTCTGGGCACAAGCTCAGTAGTTGCAGCCCGCAGGCTCCAGGGTGCAAGCTCAATAGTTTGCCACTCAGGCTTAGTTGCTCCGTGGCATGTAGGATCTTCCCGGGCCAGGGATCGAACCTGTGTCTTCTGCATTGGCAGGTGGATTGTTTACCACTCTCCACTGCCGGGAAAGCCCTGCTTTACACTTTAAATGTCCTGTCCTTACTTTCTCTAAAGGGTCAGAGCAAATACAAACTGTATTATCAACCAGATGGGACAGAAAGTAGATGGTAAGAACTCAGAGCCTAACTCGTGAGCAACAGCTGATAAAAGCAGGTGGAGAGGTAGGGAGACAGGCAGAGGAGAAGGCATGAATGCACCTTTCTAGACCTTTATTGTGTGCCGGGCGCGTAGCATCCCTCTTACCTCGTTAACCTCAGACGTTGAAGATGAGGAAATGAAGTGCCGCCTTTGCAGTGACCACCCCGAGGTCACACAGCTCAGGACTGGGGGAGCTGGGGGCTGCTTGACAGTGCCTCAGCGTGCCCTGTTTGGTGCTGAGCCTCTAGTTATCTTGGGAAATAGCCTCCCCCTGCATACAGCCACTTACTGATTTGGCCTGTCCTCTGCCCTTCTCCCTGTCCTGGTGGCACTTGGGGGATAAGGCAGACAAAGGTTCTAAACTCCACAGCAACATTAAAGAAATGCAGAGCCAAGGATTTGCAGCTGAGCCCTGGCCCTGGGGAGGTCCCCGTCATTCAAAAGAGTGACTGGGAGAAGCGCTGGTCGCCTTGCCAGGCGAGGAGACGTAAAGTTGCTGGCGTTGCTTCCCTTGTGCCTTTTTGCTGAGATGCTGGAAGGAGGCTAAGGATGCTGACCTCAGCTTTGTTCACCGGCTGATTCCGCATCTCCAGGCTCAGACCTACTGTCTGTGGGGTGGCGCCCGTGGGGCCAGGCCCTGGGTCCCCCTTCGCCAACTTCTGTGGAAAGTCTGAGTGATCCTAGGTGAGGTCATAGAACACACAAGCCAAGTCATCTGGCCCAGGTCCTAAACCTTACAGAGGAGAGGCACCTCGTGCTGGTGAAAGATAAGAAAAGTGTGGATTCTTTACATTTCTGGAAAACTTGTACCGCTCATTATCTCATTCTTGCTCTCTTACCCTACCCTTCCTAAGAGTAGGGGAAGATGGAAGTAATGCTTCCCTACTTAACAGGTGAAGGAAGTGAGGCCTGGAGGGGTTACTGATTTGCTCCGACTCTTAGAGTGATTTGGGCTTCCCAGATAGCACTGGTGGTAAAGAACCCCCCTGCCAGTTAAGGAGACATAAGAGATGCGGGTTCAATCCCTGGGTTGGGAAGATCCCCAGGCGAAGGGTGTAGCAACCACTCCAGTATTCTTGCCTGGAGAATCCCGTGGACAGAGGAGCCTGGCGGGCTACAGTCCATAGGGTTGCAAAGAGTTGGACGTGCCTGAAGCGACTCCCCAGCTCTGCTCTCTGCATCCACAGCCAGTGGGGCCAGGAGAATGCGGCAGGGGATGTCCTGTCAGTGCGCACAGTCTTGGCAGTCTTCTCAGTCTTGGGAAGGTGAAGTCACTTTGGCAAATGCAGGGACTCGTCAACTTTCAGCAGGTGTCCACCTCCAGGTTTAACTTTGTGGACGTCTGCAGAGTGCTCTGCTCAGAGGATGGGAAGTGGATAGGTCCCACCTAGTTGTATATTGCTTTATGCTTTTCAAAACACTTTTGAGTATATGCACGTTGGGTTAAAATGGTAACAGCAGCCATAGTCAACCCTCCAACTATATGTGCTCAGGCCTCTTCTAATGACAGGTATAGACTCTCCAGTCATCCTCATAGAAATGCCGCAGGGTGATGTGTTATCCCCAGACAAGGGGACTGAAGCGTTTGAGCCATTGAATAGGGCCGGTGGGTAATGTGGTTAGAATTCAAACCACAGATGCCCAGCTGCCACATAGCTTTGACCGGGATTCCTGTTCCCATTGGACGGATTGAGAAATAAACTCTTGCGAGGCTCAATCCTACCAGGGAACCCTGGCCCGAGTCCCACACGCCCTCTGCCCGCCCTCCCCGTCTTACGAGGAGCACCTTCCTGTCTGTAGCGGCACCGCCCAACCCCAACCGTGAGGTGGCCGGGGACACCATCATCTTCCGTGACACGCAGATCAGCAGCCGGGCCGTGTACCAGTGCAACACTTCCAACGAGCACGGCTACCTGCTGGCCAACGCCTTCGTCAGCGTGCTGGGTGAGTGTGCCCGCCCCGCCTGGGCCCTGCTCGGAGCGTGGGCTCCCTCTCTGCCTGAGAGATCGGTCAGGCTGGGGGGAGAGGGGCAGCAGGGTGGGGAAGTGTGGAGACCCAGGATGAAATGAGGAGGGGTGATGGAGGACTTCAAATCTACAGAGCTGGGTGTGCGGACAGTTCATTCCACTCAGAGGACGAATGTAGAGCAGAGACGCCAGTCTCTGTCCCCTTCCTCCCCTGGCAAGAGAGGGGACAGTCTCACCTTCTTGGTGTGTCCATGTTGAGTCTCCCCTGGGCTCTCCATGGCCTCAGGGTAGGAACTACCCTGCGTGTGTTTGTGGCCCTCCTGGAGCAGGCAGAGCGCAGTGGGCAGGTGCAACCAAGAGAAGCCTTGGGGCTGTGGAGGGGGCAGATACCGAAGCTGCTGGAAGGCTGGAGGCATCCTCTGCAAAATTGGGACTGGATGTAGACTAGGTGCAGATGGATAAGCTTCCTCCTTCCTCACCTAATCCGGGAGGGAGGTTGATGGGGGAAGTCACGCTGGTATTTAGAAAGCTGCCCCAAGGAGAAGGCACATGGAGATAAGACTGGTCCCCAAGGAGGGAGAGGAAGGCAGACCCCACCCAAGGTCAGGGTTAGGTCTCTGGGGTCGCAGAGGAAGGCAGACCCCTGCCCGAGATCAGGGTTAGGTCTCTGGGGTTGCAGATGTGCCGCCTCGGATGCTGTCACCCCGGAACCAGCTCATCAGGGTGATCCTGTACAACCGGACCCGGCTGGACTGCCCGTTCTTTGGGTCTCCCATCCCCACGCTCCGATGGTAAGTTCCGGGAGACCAGGCTTCCCCGATGAGGGCATCTGTCTCACCTCTGTCATAGCATTCAGCCCATGAGAGGGGTTCAGCAAGTCCTGGGAGCCACAAAGGGTGGAAGCGGAGATGAAGCTGGCAGAGCATCTGGGTCAGGCCTCTTATTGTGCAAAGAAGGAAACTGAGGCCAGAGACTTGCCAAGGCCAGCCATGGGTGGGGGCAGACCCATGGGTTTGGGGTCCCTCCCCCCCTGGGCTGGTCCTTTCTCAGTATGCTGTGTGTCCTGCTGCTCTGTTGTGAGGTTTAAGAATGGACAAGGAAGCAACCTGGATGGTGGCAACTACCACGTCTACGAGAACGGCAGTCTGGAAATCAAGATGATCCGAAAAGAGGACCAGGGCATCTACACCTGTGTTGCCACCAACATCCTGGGCAAAGCGGAGAACCAGGTCCGCCTCGAGGTCAAAGGTAAAAGGAGAGGGTCGCTAGGTAGAGGGCACAATGGGTGGGTGGGGGGGCACCTTTAACTTTGAGGATGCCATCTCCTCAAAGTTACCCGTGTGTGTCCCTTTGAAAACGCACCACCCTTAATCCCTAGTGGGATTTAATCCCTAGTGGGACCTATTCAGCCCATGAGAGGGGTTCAGCAAGTCCTGGAAGCCACAAAGGGTGGAAGCGGAGATGAAGCTGGCAGAGCATCTGGGTCAGGCCTCTTATTGTGCAAAGAAGGAAACTGAGGCCAGAGACTTGCCAAGGCCAGCCATGGGTGGGGGCAGACCCATGGGTTTGGGGTCCCTCCCCCCCTGGGCTGGTCCTTTCTCAGTATGCTGTGTGTCCTGCTGCTCTGTTGTGAGGTTTAAGAATGGACAAGGAAGCAACCTGGATGGTGGCAACTACCACGTCTACGAGAACGGCAGTCTGGAAATCAAGATGATCCGAAAAGAGGACCAGGGCATCTACACCTGTGTTGCCACCAACATCCTGGGCAAAGCGGAGAACCAGGTCCGCCTCGAGGTCAAAGGTAAAAGGAGAGGGTCGCTAGGTAGAGGGCACAATGGGTGGGTGGGGGGGCACCTTTAACTTTGAGGATGCCATCTCCTCAAAGTTACCCGTGTGTGTCCCTTTGAAAACGCACCACCCTTAATCCCTAGTGGGATTTAATCCCTAGTGGGACCTCCCTCGGGGCCCCCAGCTGGCCTGGGTGCTACATGCACTGACTCATTACCTGCCCTGTGCAGGGATGCCTGCTTCCCACACCAGCTCCCCACCACCACCCCAGAAACTACTTCCTGTGTTGCTGAGCCAGCAAGAAAAGACCTGGGCATTATTTCCATCAGGGATCTCCTATTCCAGGCCTCCCTGACCAGTTCACCTAACTGAATCCTACTTCTGCCACCCTCCACGGTCCATGTAAGCTGGTCATACGTGTCACCCCGTGGCCGCTCGGGGTGGGGCGTGGCAGAGAGGAGCTTGAGCTCAGGCACTTCTCTGCAGACCCCACGAGGATCTACCGGATGCCCGAGGACCAGGTTGCCAAGAGGGGCACCACAGTGCAGCTGGAGTGCCGTGTGAAGCATGACCCCTCCCTGAAGCTCGCGGTCTCCTGGCTGAAGGATGATGAGCCGCTCTACATCAGCAACAGGTCTCCACTCCTGCCTCCCTGCTGCTGCTCTCTGGGGCCCTGCCTCCTCCCTGCTCCTGGTGATGCGTGGACGCACCCGGGGCTCCCGTGTCCGTGTGTCGCTGCAGAACCACTGAAGAGGGTTCTGGGAACCTCAGGGGAGAGACCCCCTCCAGTGCCTGCCCTCTCTCCGCTCAGCGCCCTGCTCCTCTCTCCTCTTCCCCCGCCTCTTCTCCCCTCCTTCCCTCCTTTCTCTCCTCTCTCCATCTGCACTCACTTCTCTGTCCTTCGGCCCCTCCTTGCTCCTCTTTGGCGTCCAGGCCAGACGCCCCCTGCCTCGTTTCAGCCCAGCCAGCAGTGCCGCGTCCCCCGACAGAGCGTGGGGCTGCCTGAGCAGGCTCTGACCCTGTGGTTAGTTGGGTCGCCCTTAGTGCACCCTGGGCCCACGCCTGTCCTCTCCCTCAGCCAGATTTGGATCTGATTGGAGTTGAGGGCGGGCCCAGGCCTAGATGCTGTTTGAAGTCCCCCGGGTGTTGGGAATATGCAGCTGGGGCTGAGAGCGTTGATCTGAGCCTCCCCTCAGGCTCTCTTCTGTACCAGCTTCGGTCTCGGGGCAGGGTGCACGTGGGTACTAGCTGGGTCTGCTGATCATCTGGTTTCCTGGAGGGGCATAACCCTCCAGCAGGCACAGGTTTGCTGGCACTCAGGAATGCACCCAGCTCCTGGGTGCCCTCCTCCCTCTCTGGAGACAGTTCAGGGGAGCCCAGGGAACTGGGCTGAGCGCAGGCATCACTCTGGGTTGAGACAGAGCTGAAAGCTTGAGAAGACCTGCCTTCAGGGGTGGGCCCGGGCCCAGCTGCGCCCTAATGCAGGACGGGAGCGCAGCAGACCCGGGGGGATTTGAGTATGGTGAATATGGAGGGGGTCGCTCTAGCACCGCCCATGTTCCTATCCCCTCCGTCAACACCACGAGTGCTCAGGGTGACAGGAAGACCCAGCCCCTCCCACAGCACTGCGATGGAGCCCCCGTCCCCTAGGAGGCTCTGACTCACTTGTCCCTGCCCCAGGGAGAAGGCGAACAGGCAGTGCCCGCCACCCCCACCTCCCCACCTCACTGTCTGCCCTCCACCTTCCTCCAACCCCTCCTGGTTCCTTTGCAGAATGAAGAAGGAGGAGGACTCCCTGACCATCTTCGGTGTGGCCGAGCGGGACCAGGGCAGCTACACGTGTGTCGCCAGCACCGAGCTGGACCAGGACCTGGCCAAAGCCTACCTGACGGTGCTAGGTAAACACCGCCGCCTGCCCCGCCGCTGCCCGCCCCACCTCCCCTTGTCCAGAGAGGTGGGGGTGGCTCTGAGGGCAGCGCCTGCGGTCAGCCAGCCAGCCAGGCGTGGGGAGCCTCTTATCTGAGGGTCTGAGGGTTAGGAAGCTGCTCCTCTCAGAACAGGCTGTACTGGATGCCTTACCTCCTGAATGGAATGGCTAACTCGCCTCAATCCTCAACTGAAGGGTGCCAGAGGGAGAGGGATGGACGGGGTTCTTGTGGTCATTTTTACCAACTTTACAGCTGACTCTGAACCACTCAGTCAATTAAAACTGTCCATCCTTGAAACAAGCCAGCTCTGTGTTTGGCCTTCCAACACCTGCTGCTGCTTTATTCTCTGCCCGCCTTTCCTGGAGGGATTTCCCAGGGTGCCGGGCACCTCCGATGACTGCCTCTTGGCGGGCCCTTGCCCCCAAACCAGACTGTAAATACGAAGCCACCCCAAACCCGGGGGTGTGGTCTCCTGCCCAGGAGAGCACATCGTCTCTTCACCTCTGCTGTCTTGGTGCATCCCTGCACCGTCCCGGGGAACAGTGGGCCCAGATACAGTGCCCACACCAGGACAGCAAGCAGACCGCATGCCCGCCCCTGGCTGCGGAGGGGCACGGGAAGGCCTTTGTGAGGACCGGGGCGCCCTCCACGGGGCGGGGGGCTGAGGCTGAGCAGGGGCCGCTGTTCCAGCCTGGCCTCCTGATCCCGCCCTTAGAGCACCTTTATCCCCAGATAACCTGCTAACCTGGATAACCCGTCTTACCTTTGCAGCTGATCAGGCTACTCCAACTAACCGTTTGGCTGCCCTTCCCAAAGGTAATTCGTACTAACCCCGGGACTCGCACCAAGCCCTCGAGGTGTCTGGGAGGGTGGCGCGTAGGAGGAGGAGGGCCCTGCAGGAGAGGGGTGCTCTGCACAGGGCGGGGGGCAGCTCGCCCCGCCCCTGCCAAGTCTGACCCTCTCAGGAGGCCCGGCTCCTCCCGAGCCCCTGCTAGCCCCGGCCCTTTGGCGGACAGTTGTGGTCCCGTCCCCATCCCTCACCTCTGGCCATGCCCACCACTCCCCTGGGGCGGTCTGTTCTCTCACTCCGCTGGTCTCGGAACTCTTGCTTCCAGTTATCCGTAGGCCCGTCTTTTGGGCAGCCTCTCCAGATCTGCTGTTACACACCCATTTACAGTCCACGTGCACATGTGTGCGACACACGTGAATGTGGCTGCTGGGACTCATGTTCCAGATCCTTCCAGTTACCAGCCACACTATGGAAACAGCTGGTTCATAGAGCCAGGATGGGAGAAAAGAAACACGCCTGCCCTCACCAGTCAGTGGCCAGACGGCTTTATCCCTCTGCCAGGAGGGCGCTCACACCCACCTAAGAAATCCAGTGAGACTGGAGCCCCCCACAGGTGCTGCCCCCACCCTTGCTGGGGGCCTCTGTCCTGCTGTCCATCATGGAAGCTTCTAGACGGAGCTGCTGTCTCCTCCCTGGCCTGGTCCTCTGTGTTTGTCCCGCCCCCCCACCCCCCTAACTGCTCTGCCCTGCAAGCTCTCCAGACACCCTCCTGGGCTCCTGCCCCTCAGAGCCTCAGCACACACAGTAGAAGATAATTACACACAGGAGTCCCATACTTCTTTCCTAAAGCTGTGACCCTTTCCCAAATGCTTCCACTCCCAAGAACACCCACAGGTTGGGGTGGGTTGGCCCCAATTCTCACTGCACCCTGCACCCCTTGATATTCTTTGGGGGCTGGTGGAATTTGGGGATCTTTCCTCTTTGTCCTTCTTTGAACCCCAAGGGCAGGGTGGCCCCTAGGCTGACCCTCCGGCACAGGCTGGGGTTGGTCCCTGCGGGGTGAGCTCAGCCTGCCCAGGTCCTGTCTGTGGGACGGTGGCCGGGCCAGCTCTGACTCTAGAGGCCCCTCCCTCTGCCGCCAGGACGACCGGACCGACCCCGGGACCTGGAGCTCACTGACCTGGCCGAGAGAAGCGTGAGGCTGACCTGGATCCCAGGGGACGACAACAACAGCCCCATCACAGGTCAGCCACGGGCCGGCGCCGACCAGTAGAAGGAGGGTGCAGCTCGGCGGCCGGCCCGGCCCTGGCTTCTGGCCCCGCCGCCTTCTCACCTGGCGTGTGCCCTGGACTGTCAACAGAGTGGAGGCTGTGGTCTGTCTCCTGTTCTGTGTTTGGGAGGAGTTCATGTGCCTCTGTCTCCCCACGGGAGGCTGTCAACACTGCTGGGAACCCCGAGGGCACACCTTGGGAAAGAACTCACTGACTCAGCTCCCCAGACAGTCCTGCCTTCCTTGCCTCCTCAGACTACGTTGTCCAGTTTGAAGAAGACCAGTTCCAGCCAGGGGTCTGGCATGACCATTCCAAGTTCCCGGGCAGTGTCAACTCAGCTGTGCTCCGGCTGTCACCCTACGTCAATTACCAGTTCCGGGTCATCGCCATCAACGAGGTGGGCAGCAGCCACCCCAGCCTCCCGTCTGAGCGCTACCGAACCAGCGGAGCACGTGAGTGCTTGAGGGCTAACGGCAGGTGCTGACGCCAGGCACCCGAGTACAGACTGAGTTCCCCGGGTCCCCAGCCACATGAATTTAGGCAAGCTACTCCAGGCTTCCTCATCTATGAACCAGAGAATAATTACACCATCTCCCTATGGGGCTGTTGTGAAAATACAATTGTTTGAAAATACAATTCAGGTCCTTAATGTGATATGCATGTAGTAATCACACAATAAATGTCAACTGTTATTTTTATTATTACTAATATTATGAATAATTCTCAATGATCTGCTTTAAAGGGAATAGCTATGAAGATTGGCAGTAGAAATATATAATCTCATGTTGTATCAGGTTTCTTAACATACTTGGGTAATGAAATGCTTAGATTTCTGAAATCATACTGGCTCATTGAGGGTGAAAGATGCTCCCCCAAAATGTTGAATGCCAGGAAACCAAGCTGGTGTTAAACACACTTAGTGGATAGCCACATTGAATTGACTCTATTGATCATCTAAAGTGTGGAAAGCCTTATAAGTCTCAGCTAGGAAGGCACATCATACGTGCGGCAGCGCGGCAGAGCAAGCTCAGCTGCGGAGGGGACGGGGTGTTGAGACATGCAGAGATGAGCACAGAGGGGCCAGTGGGCTGGGGAGGAGAGGCTGTTCACTGTGCCCTGTGATGCATACCCCGGGTTTGAACTGGTCTCCGTTTGGGTTCCAGCCCCCGAGTCCAACCCGTCCGACGTGAAGGGAGAGGGGAGCAGGAAGAACAACATGGAGATCACGTGGACGGTGAGAGCCCCTCCAGCCCACCTGCAATGCTGGCCTGGCAGTCTGGGGGCCCTCGCCCTGTGCACCCCTGGAGTCCCCCGGCTGCAGGCTGGCTCAGACTACCTGCCTGGTGTGAGGGCATCAAGAAATCAAACAGGAGAGTATCTAAGAGCAAGGTTTAAGACAGGAGCAGAGGTGACTGAGGCCCACAGGACCAAAGCACTTCTTTAGAAGAGAGAGATTTAGATTAGTCCCCAGAAAAGATGTAGCCTAAACACTGGTACCTCGCTTTGGTGAGTTCTGAGCTCCTCTCACTGGCGATTGTTGGGTGTGGGGAGAGACCAGCCTCACGGTGAGCCTCCAGTGGCAGCTGTCTGTAAGTCCAAGATGGACAGAGGGACTCCAAAGATGACCTCCAGACCAGGATTGAAAAACTCATCTTCCGTCTTGGCTCACCTGACCACATTTTCCAAACCAAAACTGGGATATGTGGCCTCCAAATGATGTGGTTTTTTTTTTTTTTTTCCAAACTGCTTCTGAGATGCAAATTCAGCCACTGAAAATGTTTTATTTTTGGTTGCTCTGGGTCTTCATTGCTGTGCAAGGGCTTTCTCTAGCTGTGGAGAGAAGGGGCTGCTCTCTAGCTGTAGCGTGGGGGCTTCTCTTGTTATGAATCACAGGTTCCAGGGCACATAGGCTTCGGTAATTGTGGTACACAGGCTTAGTTGCTCCATGGCATGTGGAACATTCCCAGGCTAGGGTTCAAACCTGTGTGTTTGAATTCCAGGATTCCTATCCACTGTGCCACCAGGGAAGTCCCAGCCACTGAAATTTTAACATTTTTGTGCTGTTGCTGTGCATAATGGAAATAGACGGATGCAGAGTTTGGAATCATGACCATCATTGTCTGCCGAGGGCCTGGTCTTACAGCAGCCTTAGCAGTTGGGCTGAGCCCAGACTTAAGATGCCAGGGCTCATCTTTAGGACCTGGCAAGAAGTGGTTCAGCTCTGTATTGCAGGTGCCCAGGGAATGGCTTCCTGGACCAGCCCTTGGGGAACAAAGACAGAGTTACGCCTGCTCCTACCTCCAGCCTTTTAAGAAGGGTAGGGCAGAGAGGCATGGATTCGCTAGGACTGAAGTCGGGAATTTTGATTCATTGGCAGCAGGCATGCCATGACTAAGCCAGAACTCGCTCCTCTCTGGCTTTGGAGGCTTGTTACATCACCATGCACATTTTGCTTCTGGTTGCTCCATCCCTGGAAAGAGTCCTGTTGACAGTGATGCTTTTTCTGCCTGCGTACCTGCCGGGCGGGGGCTGTGATGTCAGAGGGCCTGGGGCCTTGGAGGAGGATCTGCGGCTGCCAGCTTCACAGGACTCCAGGCTCGGGGGACTCAGAGTGGGGAGCAGGCTCTCCCCAGCTCTGCAAGGGGCTGGCCACGGTTGGGCAGGCTGGAGACAGGGGCCTGCCGCGGGAAGAGAGTGAGCTGGGGTGGCCCGGGCTCCTTGCCAGCACCCTCACCACTCCTGCCGTCTCTCCCCACTCAGCCCATGAATGCCACCTCCGCCTTCGGCCCCAACCTGCGCTACATTGTCAAGTGGCGGCGGAGAGAGACCCGCGAGGCCTGGAACAACGTCACGGTGTGGGGCTCCCGCTATGTGGTGGGGCAGACCCCCGTCTACGTGCCCTACGAGATCCGAGTCCAGGCTGAAAACGACTTTGGGAAGGGCCCTGAGCCAGACACCGTCATCGGTTACTCTGGAGAAGATTGTGAGTACCCACCCTCCCTCCACCCTGGGCACCCACGGCTGGGCTGTCCAGGCCACCCCTGAAGACCAGGAACCTTGGCATGGGCCCTGGGTCTTCTAAGAGCACCCTGGAGGACAGCCAATTACCAGGAAAGAGGGGTCTCCTGCAGTGACCTGGAGCAGACAGGCCCCAGGCAGTGGTGGGAGCAGAGACGGTATCATCTGAATGCTGGTTAGAATTAATGAACGTCGTCACCTGGTCCAGTACTCTCACTTTATAAATAGGAAAACTGGGGTCCTGCAAGGGAAACCCCCACCCATATTGCACAGTAGCAAATTCCAGGCTTGAAAACAGCACCCAGGTTTATGGTCTGTCTTACTGCTAGGCCTTGCTAGCCCAGAGGACCGTCTGACCCAAATGCCATAACTAGACACCCCCACAGGAAGCAGGGCCAGGCCAGACTGCTCCTGGGCTCCCCAGGGGAATTCTCGAGGGACTGAAGTCCACAGCTCCCCAGATTGAATACTCCAGGCCAGCCACTGCAACCCTGGGCATAAAAAGAGGTGTTCTTTGGAGGCTGTCGCTGGAGAAATCAGCGTAATTCTGGGATATGTGCAGAAGTGTGTACCTGGCTGTCCAGGCAGTGGGGGCCTCTCTGTCCCTAGCACATCAGTCCTACGGCTGCTGAGCAAGGCAGGAGGGTTAGTGATGCCCCTCCTGGTCAGGGTAATCCATACCCTGGTGGATCTGGGTCTGATCTGAGAAGAAACCATGGAGGTGTATGGAATGACCCAAAGGAAGGAGGGAGGAGAGTCTTGGGGAAGAGTGGATTCACGGGGGCCAGTGCTGGGGTCATGAGCAGGGCCAGTGGGGTTCATGACAGTGAGCTAGGAGTTAAGTGAGGGTCAGGCCCTGCACCCCACTTCCCTGAAGGTGATTGTGGATTGGACGCCCTCGGGAGATAGGGAGCGGGGATCAGCAGGCCCTCTGTCCATCCCGCTCCTCATTTCCATGGTAGCAGACGCTTCCAGACAGAAGGCGGTGGGGGCTTCTGGAGGGTAAGTATGGAAAAGGCAGCATCTAGCCACGGACTCACGGACCACCCCACCGTTTCCACTGCACCTGTGTACCCCACAGCCGATACATTAGAAGGGATAGGGCAGAACCACTTTGGTGGCAGAGTAGAAAAAACAAGGGACAGAACCAGTTATGGGGGCAGTGTCCCTCCCTCTGCAGGTAATCTCAGAATCAGTCTTTTCCTGAACTAGGCTAGGGCGTCTTTAGTCTGCAGGCAATGTTTCCTGCAGGGCCCTGGCAAGAGACAAATGCCACTCAAGGGGGACTATTTCCAGTGTGAGGGTAGGATTAGAGGGAAAACAGTAAGGTTGGTAAGCCAGCGGGAGGCCAGCCACAGTGGGGTGCCATCACGCCACTTGGCCTGGAGGGAGAGCCCAGCATCCAGAGTGGGCTGAAGGGGCAAGCCAGCCGAGGGCAGGCGAGTCGGAGGGGGCTCTGGAGTCAGGGGGGGGCAGCCCCACCTGCATAACCAGCTCTCTGTCCCGACATGTTGCAGATCCCAGGGCTGCACCCACTGATGTTAAAATCCGAGTCCTGAACAGCACCGCCATCAGCCTGCAGTGGAACCGCGTCTACTCCGACACGGTCCAGGGCCAGCTCAGAGAATATCGAGTGAGGAAGCCAGCTGCAGGCCCCGTCTAACCTCGCAGCTCCCTAACAGGGCGAGGGGGTAGCAGACGCGGTACATGAGATGTTTGGAAGGGGTCCTTGGGATAGCGGTTGGACCCAGAGTTGGTTTAAGAAGACGATGTCTGGAAGTTCCCTGGTGGTCCAGTGGTTAGGACTCCACACTTTCACCTCCTTGGCCTGGCTGGGAAACTCAGATCCCGCAAGCCATGTGGCACAGCCAACACAGAAAACACAATGTCTAGAGTGAGCTGTTCAAAATATACTCAGAAAAAAACACAGATACACAGGGTGTCTCCTGCAGCAGGTGTGCTGAGAGATTCTGCTCAGCAGGTGGGTGCTGGGTTTGCACTGACCATACAGAACACATTATGCTTGCACTCCCTGTGTGAGGACACACATGTATCTTTAGAGGCAGTGTTGAGGCACCGCTGAGCTACACCCCTCCCCTCTTCTAAAGGCCCTTCTGGGCTGCTTGCCTCACCCAATCTGATTTCATGAAGCCCCAACTAACCAGAAGAGCTACTACAAGGGTACAAACCCTTCCCTGTTGTCACAGCCAACTCCAGTTTATTAAGGCCCTTGACTTCCCCTGGCCACCTCTTCTCTTCCTGATGTTTCTCTCTTTGAATGGGAAGGGAGAGAAAACCCAGGGTATGCAAGGCTCTCCCTGATGAGTTGTTCTATTTAAAACTCCTGGAGAGGCTATGACCCTGGGTGACATGGGTTCTGTGGCTTATAGGTCATTGGGGGTTGGCTGATGGACAATTGGTGGCACAGGGGGAGTCAGTCTCTTCTAGGGAAATGGATTTGGCAGGCCAAGGAAGGAAAGTGAGATGATATATACGCTTGAATGAGCTCTTCCCCAACTTGCACCCTTAACCTACTTGCCTGGAGATGTTTTTGGCTAAAACTCTCTTTGGGCCCCCTTCTTAAGTCTGGACTTCGTCTCTACCTTGTCCTTGGAGGCCCCGGGTGATGCTGGGGCTTCCCCTCCACTGCTCATCACACCCCATGCTTCAGACTTCTGACTGTGGCACTGCCCCCTTCCGCAGGCTGTCCCATCCCACCCCAGCTCTTGCCATCCCACAGCCTGGTCTCCCATTGGCTTGGACATGTCACTATCCTAATGGATTTTAAACAGTATCAAAAGGAAGCTTTTGATTTTAAAGGACTAAAACAACCCTTTCTTGTATTCAGACTTCTGGGGGTAACCTGCTACTTTTCAGCTCCTGTCTGCTGCCAATCTAAACCATACTAAATCTAACTCAAGGTGATGTGGTCTTTGAGCACAGAAAAGAGCTCTCCATGCCTGGGCCCTTGGCTCAAATTTGTGCTTTTGGTACAGACTCCCTGAGCAACCTATTCCGAGCTTGGAAATAACTCTCAAGATGGAGCATCTAGGCTGTACGTTTGGCCAGCGTGCCTGGTCCCAGAGAGACGACACAGCTCAGAAAATGATCAAAACCAAAAAGTCTACTTGGTTTGACATTGGTCCCCACGCACTAGTGGCCAATGGTTGGGGACTGTCAGGTGCCTCCCCCAGCCCTCGGTGGGGCTACTGAGGGCCTTTGCAGTTCGGAGCCCGTGGCCAGGAAAGGGAAGACCAGTCACCACCAGCAACACCACTAACAACTAACCCCGCCCTGCCCAGCCGAGCCCTCACCAGCCCGCCTCTGTCCTAAGGCCTACTACTGGAGGGAGAGCAGCTTGCTGAAGAACCTGTGGGTGTCTCAGAAGAGGCAGCAAGCTGGCTTCCCCGGCGACCGCTTGCGTGGCGTGGTGTCCCGCCTCTTCCCCTACAGTAACTACAAGCTGGAGATGGTTGTGGTCAATGGGCGAGGCGATGGGCCTCGCAGTGAAACCAAGGAGTTCACCACCCCGGAAGGAGGTAGGTCCAGCTGCCACTCCCTGGGGAGGGCAGGATGCGGGTGGCGTGGCCAAGTGGCCCCAAGCATCTCCAACATAGCTCTGCCCGGCTGACACAAGTTGACCTCTGCACAACCTCACGGAGCGATGACCAGCGCGCTGATGGTACCCGTGGAGTGCTGTCCCCAAGGCGGCTGCCCCGACAGGCAGTTCTGTGTCAGAACAAGACTGTGAGACGGCTGATGGGACTCTGGACAGGCTGTGTACACAGACTCCGAAGGGCACTACGGGAGCCGCCCACAGTCTCCTGAGGGGGCCCACCCACAGCATCCTGAGGGGGCTCAGGCACCTGGACTCCCAGGAGGCACCTGGACTCCAAGAAGGCACTTGGACTCCCAGGAGGCACCTGGACTCCCAGAAGGCACTTGGACTCCCAGGAGGCACCTGGACTCCCAGAAGGCACTTGGACTCCCAGGAGGCATCTGCTTGGTCCGCCAGCCTCAACCCCAAGGACCTTCCCTCCTGTCACCGCTGTGACCTAGAGGCTGCCCTTCAGGGGGCACCCCGGTCCTGGGAGCTGGACCCCTGGGGAGGTCCCTGCCCATCTCCTGTTCCTGCCAGGCCCCTCAGACCAGCTTGGCATTTCCTTTGCCCTCTTCTGTTTCTCCTTCCTCCCTTTTCAAGTGTTATTTTCCCCCATTCTTCTGCCCCTCCTCCTTTTTCCTCTCCTCTGTTTCCTCTCCCTTATTTCTTTATTCCTGTATCCCTTCCTCCTGGTTGGTTTTCATCACCAGCCTCTCCCCATTGCTCCTGTCCCTGGCACCATCCACATGTTCCAACATGGGTTTCTTTCTTCTCAGCCCAGAGGCCAGGCTTTGATACTTTGACCCTGTGGTGAGAACCCTTGTCTGAAGATTGAGAACCATGGCTTCTGTTACCAAACAGAGGCTAAAATTGGTTTCCTACCTGAGGATGATTCTGCCCAACCTGGAGGTTTCTTGTGGGATCAGAGCCTAATGTGTGCTGTGTTCAGGGTAGTTTTTAAAGGGCACCTTGACTGACTCCTTCCCCATGTAAACCAAGTCTGAGCCATGCTTGTCCTAGATGTGGGGAAATGCCATTCTGGATGAGGCAGTGGGCACTAGCCACCTCAGCCCTCCAGGTTGTGGCTTAGCAGCGATCCAGCACGGGGGTTGTCCAGAGGTCAGTGTGTTCATACCTGTGCTTTGTTTCTTGTGTTTTCCTCATCCTGCCCACCCCTTTCTCTCCCGCCATGTCCCCCACTCTGTCCTCCTTCCCCAAGTACCCAGTGCCCCCAGGCGTTTCCGAGTCCGGCAGCCCAACCTGGAGACAATCAACCTGGAATGGGATCATCCAGAACACCCCAATGGGATCCTGATTGGATATACTCTCAAATACGTGGCCTGTACGTTCTGCCCTTCTTTCTCTTGGATAATCTTGAGAATCAGAAACCCCGTTCTCACCACTTTTCCTAAGGAATCAAGGTAGAAAGCCTCTGGGTACACAGGGCATTGTGGAGGGATGCAAGGGGCCGGGTAAAAGCTTCCTGTAGGGTTATGGGAGGCAAGTGAGACCCAATTCCCACTCCTGTCACAGCTCCTCCTTCAGGGGGCTTCCAGTCAGCCGGTGAGACAAAGGGGACTTCTGGTCTGATGAGGGATTCAACCCCCAGGCTCAGGAATCTTAGAGTCTCTAACTCCTTCAAGTCTAGGACAGAACATTTCTTACCTGACAGAGCTTCCATCAACTAGGGCAGACAGTACATGCATAGGGATCCACCAACACTGCCCCTTGGGGCCACCTTAACAAGTTGCCGTTTTTGGTAAAGCAGTTGTTTGTGGAGTTGCCATGGAATATTGAATATTCAGTACTCAATATTGGCTCAATCAGGAGCCTGGGTTGGGATGACCTCACCTAAAGAATTCAGCATCACCAGGCAGGGACAGGAGTGTCACTCATTTGAAAGACTTTCAAATGTCTTCTAAAGTAGGTGATGTTATGCTTTGATGTGAGGCTCAAGGGGCAGGCATTGTGTTGTTAAGGATTTTAATAGCCAACTGTGTGCTTGCATGTGATTCTGAATCCATCTCTGGACCTGACCTTCCCCCTCTGAGGTATATAGTGAATAGGCCTTTTACAAAGGAGGCATTAACAATGAAAAGCTCTAGTGGTTTTGCCCTAGTTCTGTTTGAAAGGAAAAAAGGAACTCAAGTTTTGTCCTTGTTGAAAAGGCTCGAGGATTAAAAGTTGAATCTTTCAGAATCAGCCACATAACCTTGTGTTGAGCTAGCAATAATGAGATCAGTGGGAAAGTGTTAACCCTGGTGCGTCATCAAAGAGCCAGAGAGGAGTTGTGGCCCAACACTCAGCCTTTGAAACGTCTCCCAGGCCGAGTCCTTAAGATCACGGGCAGGTTTCATGGGTTCCCTTCCCAGCAGAGTCGAGAAGGCTTCCTCCTTCCAGCTGCAGTTTATATATAACCCACCATGGTCAACATTGCTAAAGTTCAATTCCACTTACCTGTCTCTCTCCAGTTAATGGAACCAAAGTAGGAAAGCAGATAGTGGAAAACTTCTCTCCCAATCAGACCAAGTTCACGGTGCAAAGAGCAGACCCCGTGTCGCGCTACCGCTTTTCCCTCAGTGCCAGGACGCAGGTGGGCTCAGGGGAAGCAGTCACGGAGGAGTCACCAGCGCCCCCCAATGAAGGTAGGTGCAGTGCGGCGGCCGCGGGGCGGATGGTCCCGGGGAGTGCAGGTGCCTAGAGAGACCCTGAGCTGGCCTCTGGCCTCCTGGGATGGCGGGGGCCGGCGGGCCCCCAGAGGGGGAAGCCAGCCTGCGTGCCGACAGGTAGGTGCCGTCGGTGGACCTGGAAGACACGTCTTCTGACCGACGCAGTGAGACCCGGGTGTCCACGTGGCCTCGGCTTGCTCAGCTGTTTCACCTTTGGGGGTGCAGGGAAGAGAGTGTGAGCCATGGCTGAGCTGAGGGGGCGAGAGAAAGCACGTTGGAAGTAAGTGTGCTCACAGACTCCACAGAGCAGGAAGGTGTTTGCCAGGTGAGGGAGGCAGCGCTGTGATGGAGGTGGCCGCTGAGGGCCCTGGGGCTGCCCTTTCTCCTCTGAGGGTGCCTGGCGCTGAGGGGAATGGGGGCCAGCCCTGACTGACGCTGACTGCCGGCGTCTTGGGCCGAGGAGGAGACGTAGCCCTCCTGGCGGCCTGGAGGGAGTGAACTGTCCGGCCGAGGAGAGGCCAGGGAGCTGGGAAACAGCCGTCTGCCCAGCCAGCTTCACAGAGAGCGCGCGCCTGAGCTCCTCTCCCAGGCTCTGGCGTCTTCCGGCCGCGAACGCCTGGCCCTGAGCTGCGCTCGCACACGATGTCCACTAGAGGGCGCTCGGCCTGGAGCTGCGCGCGCACGCGAAGTCCACTAGAGGGCGCCCGGGTCAGAGCTGTGCGCGCACGCGAAGTCCACTAGAGGGCGCCTGGCGCCCCTGTTCATGGCATTGGGGAGCTCTCGGGTAGGAGAGGCTCTGGAAGCCCTGGCATCATCCGCAGACCCTCGTGAGAGGGGGTGGGGGCTCTGCTTCCCCAGAGGCACTGTGGACTGTTCAAGAGCCCCTGCCCGAGATGCCGGCCAACTGTGCCAAAAACCAGGAATATAAAAACCGATGAGCCCCCAGCCTAGAAGGAGGGATGCCCACAAGAGGATCCAACTGATTCACCAGGAGCAGTGCAGTGTTTAGGTGGCGGAACTGCAGTGGTGGGGCAGGGAATAGGGTTGAGTCCACAGGGGAAGGCTGCAAAGAAGGGGCCATGTGGTTAAGGATTTCTGACGCCGACCACAGGCTACTGTGTCCAGCACTCTCCTCAGAAGGCTGAGGTCTGCTGGCCAGGCCTGGCCTGGGGGGGCCTCCTGGGCAGCCCACTCCCAGCCCAGGAGAGCAGTCGTGCCTCCAGGCCTGCTGCCTCACCTCAGGCTCCCAGCTCAGCGCCACAAGCAGTCCCACGTCCCTCCCCCAGCCCTGCTCCCCTGGCCAGCAGGCCAGCACCGAAGCAGAAGCGCGAGGGGCCAGGCCGCTGAAGCCGGGGAAGGCTGACGGTGCTGCGTGTGTCCCTGTCTGCTCCTGTAAACCAGGGGTGAGCCACACAATACTCCCCCTCCCCAGTCTCCCTTCCAGTCTCTCGGGTACTTGGACAGTGTATTAGGGCTGGGTGACTGGGTAAGTGATTGATACATGCCTGTTACCAAAGGTCAGGCCAGGGCTGGTGCCCTTACTTGATTACTTCACTCTACAAGGAGATACTAGAGAGAGCCTCTTCTCCCTCCCTTTTCCCGCCCCCATCAACACAGAACATCAGATAAACAAAGCCACACTGCCCAGCAGGGAAGGATCTCAGCACCAGGGGGCAAGAGAGCAAAGAGGGGTCTCAGCCGCACTCAGCCAAGGGCTTTGCAGCAGATTCACGAGTTCCTTTTAGGCTCTCAGCCCGCAGCTGAGTTTCCTCTTTCATGCAGTCCAGGGGGCAGCAGGACACAGGACAGGGCCCCGCGCTCCGGCCCATCACAGGCCCTGGCTTCCCACCAAACCCATCTTCCACCTCCCTCCACCCCAGCATGATTCAGCTACCCCAACGCCTGTCCTGGGGATAAAGGAGGCATCCTTTCACCTGTGACTGGTGTCCTCCTATATACCTCTGTCTTATGCCCTCAGTTCCTGGCACCATCGAGGGTCACCCAGCTCCTTCATAAAAATCAGCCCCGCTAGGGAGGGACACACCCTTCAAAACAGACATGGGATTCTAGGTGGACTGTCTGCTGCCACCTCCTAGATGTCCTTGAGTTGAGGTAGAAGCAAAGATGTTAGAAAGGGCTCCAAGACCCAGGAAGGTTTTCTCTAGGAGCATGGCAGACCCCCGTGGGGTTGAACACGATCCCTAACGGCCAGGTGGCATCCGCAGGGCCGTGGCCAGCGCCCAGCCACACTGTCTGGGTCAGTTCGAGCCAGAACCTTCTCTCCTGCGATTGCTTGTCCTGTGGTTTCACCTGTGCTCTGTTCTCTCTCCCCTCTCGTTCTTTCCCCCTCTCCCTCTCTGGCTATCTTGGGTGCCGTGTTCTGAAGCCACTCCAACCGCAGGTACTGTACCAACCACAGAGGTAACGGGCGTGGCATGGGGCAGCGCAGGTGGAGGCCAGCCCGGCGGGGCAGACCGAGGGAGAGGCCTGGGGTGAAAGCATGCTCTTGGGACACACCCTTTCAGCGGGTGGGAAGCCGGACTCTGCAGGAGGCTGTGTGTGGAGGGCAGGGCCAGAGCAGAGCCAGCCAACACATTCCCCTCCCTTCAGTAACGAAGGTGGCTGGCTTGGAAGGGACCCCACTCGGAGGCTCCAGACCTGCTCCCTGGAGCTGCAGCTTTCTCTGGAGCTGAGTGGTTGCCTCCTCTGAGCACCTGGTCTCTTACCCGGTCTTGTCATCTCGGAGCACAGCGGGCCCAGAGCCCTTGGGTGACCTGCTGTGCTCTGGGGGTGGGGGCAGCTGGCTCCTGTCTCCGGGTCAGGCTGCCACCCCCTGAAAGGGTGACCCGAGGGCGAACGTGCCGTGCATGCTGGCCTTGCATGCTGCATGGGGCTTGGCACCAGCTCTCCCATCTCCCATGGGTTCCGCTCAGTGAGTCTGTCCCGGGATGGGCCAGGCGCCCCCGACCTGGAGTCTCAGAGGATGCCATGGGCTGAGAGTCGTGTCAGCCCGCAGAAACCCAGCTTCTCAGTCTTGGGTGTTAAGGACAGTCCCACAGAGGTAACGGGCGTGGCATGGGGCAGCGCAGGTGGAGGCCAGCCCGGCGGGGCAGACCGAGGGAGAGGCCTGGGGTGAAAGCATGCTCTTGGGACACACCCTTTCAGCGGGTGGGAAGCCGGACTCTGCAGGAGGCTGTGTGTGGAGGGCAGGGCCAGAGCAGAGCCAGCCAACACATTCCCCTCCCTTCAGTAACGAAGGTGGCTGGCTTGGAAGGGACCCCACTCGGAGGCTCCAGACCTGCTCCCTGGAGCTGCAGCTTTCTCTGGAGCTGAGTGGTTGCCTCCTCTGAGCACCTGGTCTCTTGCCCGGTCTTGTCATCTCGGAGCACAGCGGGCCCAGAGCCCTTGGGTGACCTGCTGTGCTCTGGGGGTGGGGGCAGCTGGCTCCTGTCTCCGGGTCAGGCTGCCACCCCCTGAAAGGGTGACCCGAGGGCGAACGTGCCGTGCATGCTGGCCTTGCATGCTGCATGGGGCTTGGCACCAGCTCTCCCATCTCCCATGGGTTCCGCTCAGTGAGTCTGTCCCGGGATGGGCCAGGCGCCCCCGACCTGGAGTCTCAGAGGATGCCATGGGCTGAGAGTCGTGTCAGCCCGCAGAAACCCAGCTTCTCAGTCTTGGGTGTTAAGGACAGTCCCTGCTCTCAGGGTCTGGGAGGCAGACACACCGTGAGGAGCTGGGCGGTATAGAGCTCAGGTTGGAGCAGGAGGTGACCTGCCCTCCGAGGCCCTGCTCCCAGCCCCCTCACACTGTGGTCCGAGGAGCATTGACACAGGCTGGAGGGGCTGCTGCCTCAGGCTCCAGGCAGTAGGGGGCCTGAGCTCCAGGCGAGCAGTCGGAGGGCTGGCTTGGGAGGGCCCACCTTCCCGGTTTGCCCCCCACCCTCACGCACAGCTCCTCTCTGTAGGTTGCTTCTGTTTCTGTTGCATACCCTGCTTCCTCTGTTTGCGTTGGTCCCGCCAGCCAGGCCTCTGGTGGCGCGCAGTCATCATGCTCCCCCCTCCACCCTGCCCTCAGATAACCCAGGCCAACGGCCAGCGCCTCCCACCTCTGCCGGGACGGGAGGCAGAGGGGGGTCCTGGGCCTGGAGACCGGGGAAAGGCCGTCCGCGCAGCCTGGGGTGGCCCTGGCGCTGGCCCAGCAGGTGCTTGGGGTCCCGAAAGCACTCAGTGGAGGCGAAAGGAGAGAGGCAGTGAGGGAGCCACGCAGATCACCCGGTCAAACAGCTCGCAGACCACTCCCCATGCTGGGACCCGGGACCCAAGGCAGGTGGGCCTGGGGGCAGGGAGCCTGCTCTGCTCAGTGGGATCCATGCCAGGCTGTGACGCCCCTCTTGTGTGGCAGGTGTGAGGCGGATGGGTTCCAAACCCCCTACTTCCTCCTCCTCGTTTAAGAAAGATCCAAGCTCACCCTGGTGTGCAGAGGGAGCTGGGGCGTCTGCCCTTCGGTCACGTGTTTCCTGGGCTCTGCTTCTGCGGGGCACAGTGGTAAAAGTGCAGTGTGCTTCTTGGTAAATGAGCTGTGCAGGTAGCATCGGCTGTTCCCAGCCTTGAAGGTGCCAGGTGACGGCGCCCAGGGTCTCCATCATTAGCGTGGTCTGGACTCCAGCCCGCTGCTCCCTTCCCTCTCTTTCTCTCCAATTGTGGGTATTTTTCCCCCAAACTGATGTGTTCCTCTCACCCAGGAAAGATAATCCCTTTCCTGCGCCCATGTCTGCAGTCTCTTGGGGTTGCTGCCCATCTGTTCTGGCCATCTGTGTTTGGCCAAGGTAGCCTGCGCACCAGGTGGACACTTCTGGACCGAGCCTTCCACCTTGGAATGTCTGGGAACTGCTTCCCTCGTGTTTGGCTCAGCTCATATCTGCTGTTTGCTGAGCAGCTCCGTGGTGGGTTCTGGGTGACAAAAGATGAATAATAGATATGATGTCTCTTAATTTTCTCCATTTCTTGCGTGGTGTCACCCAAAACTCTGGTGGAAAACACTTGGCCTTGGCTGGGGCGTCTTCCAGGATGCATTAGATAGCCCCCTGGGTTGACACCGCCTTCAGGGAGGGGTCCTGTGCCTCCAGGCCCACCCTGGCCCTCTGTCGCTCTCAGTTACCAGCCTGGACCTCCGTCCCTCAGTTTCCAGCCTGGTGGTCTGTGCTGGGCAGTGACCGTATTGGTTCTGCAGCCCGTAGTTCCTGCTGTGGTTGGAGATGACCTCCTAACCCAGCAATGTATCCGTCCAGCCCGTGGGCCTCTCTGCCTATGAGCCCCACTGCTGGACCTTGTTCCCCTTTTATCTGCTACCCTAACCCTGCCCTGGGGATTGAAGTCATCTGAATCCCCTTAGACTGGAACACTGGGCAGCTTCCCTGGAAAACCTGCCCTTCCCTCCCACCTGTACACGGCTCTGGCAACCCACTCACTGACTTCCATCCCTTCCCCCAGAACCTTGCCTTCTTGCCTCTGCCCTCCCAGTCTCTCTGGCCCTGTCCATCCCTGGGACAGTAGATGCTATTAGCAGTGGACCAGAGAGAGTGCCAACTCACCAGCTGCGACCTCGGCCAGCCAAGGCACCTCCTCCACTGCACCTGCAGTGCTGGGCATCCTCTGGGAGGGCGCCTAGGGAGCAATTCCTTTCCTCCCACTCCTCCTGGGCCCCTCTCACTAATGCCTGATTGTTGCTGCCGAGCTGAAGGAAAAGCATCTAGGTAGCCATTGTCAGAGAAAACCTTTCCTCCTGCCACTCTGGACAGAGGGACCGGGTTGTGACTGTGGCAACATCTTCATTTCTCATTCTTGTCTCTGCCCCACGGAGCCCAGGAAGGACTTGTTCTGGCCCTCTCCGCATCTCTGTTTCTAGGGCTGCTCGCTGGAGTGCCCGGGGCCGCGTGTGGGCCTCCTGTCGGCCCTGTGTCAGCTTGAGCATGTGTCTTTGCTTATAGGAGGACCGGCGCCCACAAGGAGTGTGTGTGTAGTCTCCAGGGGCTGAAATGCAGAACCACTGTGTGCATGTGGGGAAGCCCGCATCTCCACACTATACAGAGGGGAATGACTTAAGAGAGAGTATCAGTTTTATGATGATGTCTTTTAAGTAGTCATAGCAAAGGTGAGCCTTCTGAAATTATTAGAAAACACATTATTGATAAGGAGCCAAATCAGAGTGGTCCTGTCCAGATGGACAAAATAGCTTCTCATGGTTCCTTCCAGAAGTTCAGAACAGCTGGAAAAGCCCATGTGTGTCCCTGGCCATAGAGCTGCCAGGCACCAGGCCTAGGAGGGAGCTCGCCTTTGCCCTCTGGGTCTCAGGCTCATGTGTGTATCTGTGTGTGCATCTGTCTGTTTGCCTGTCTTGGCGAGTGGGACAGGAAGATTGCCGCTGGCTGGCCTCTTACAGCACCAGGCTTGCCTTCTAGGTCTGGGCCACCTGAAGCGCATCCTTGAATGCTGACTGTGAGAGGGAGAGTTTCTCCCACCACATGTTCCCCCCCACGCCCGCCTTCCTGATGTCCGTGTTGACCGGGGCTTGGGGAACGTAGTGCTATCTGTCCTGACCTTGTCCAGGAATCTCTGGAATGCATGGGGCACGGTCAGTTGCCCAGTGTGACCTCTGTGGTCAGCACCCTCAGACCCAGTAATGCATCTGAACTTACAAATAGGGAAGCAACTGGGATCCCGGGAATAGTCCCTCCTTTTCTATGGGGCACTTGTAACATTGGAGGCCCAGGGGAATGAAAAGGGCTTTTGTTGGTCAGGCTCTTGTTGAGAAGGCTTAGGATCTCTTAACTCTTGAGAGAAGCTTTCTGGCAGTTTTCTCTCTAGTTTCCTTCTTGCTCCGGTCCTCTTCTGGGGAGTAGGGAGAGTATTTTCCGGAACTTCTGGAGATTTGAGATAAGATAGGATATCTCTCCTCCTTGGAAGTTAGAGTTACCTATTTGTGTCTTAAGGGCTTCCCTGACAGCTCAGTTGGTAAAGAATCTACCTGCAGTGCAGGAGACCCTGGTTTGATTCCTGGGTTGGGAAGATCTGCTGGATAAGGGATAGGCTACCCACTCCAGTATTCTTAGGTTTCCCTTGTGGCTCAGTCAGTGAAGAATCTGCCTGCAATGCAGGAGACCTGAGTTCGATTCCTGGGTTGGGGAGATCCCCTGGAGAAGGGAACAGCTACCCACTCCAATATTCTGGCCTGGAGAATTCCATGTACAGAGGAACCTGGCAGACTATAGTCCATAGGGTTGCAAAGAGTCAGATCAGCTGAGTGACACCCTACCTTCTGCCCTGTTGGCAGAAAGTAGACTGGTCAGATCACAGGAGGTAGAGGGTAAGGTGGAGAGGTATCCCTGGCTGTCTCTGATTTCCCCATCAGTCTTCTCAGCGTTAGCAATACTGGAACTAAAGAGTAATAGAAAAAAATTTAAAAAAAAAAAGAGAGTAATAGGCCAGCCCTTTGTTAGCATCCACGACTCTTTGTAGAAAGAAAGAGGGTCTGTGGAAACATTGTCATGATAGACTTAACCCCCTATGGCTGACCCCTGTCAAAGGGTAGCTTTGGATGGGAGATGAGAAAGTAGGAGTTATGGCAGATTTGAAGCCCTCTGAAGATTTATGCAAAAAAGCAGCCCGCATGCACCTCACTCACATCTTGGGATTTCTACATTTACTGTGGGCTGGGGAAGTGGGGCCCAGGACCCACATGTCCTAGAGAGAAAGGCAGTTATGACAAGTTAGGGTGGTGGTTGTTCAGTCGCTAAGTCATGTCCAGCTCTTTGTGGCCCCCTGGACTGAAGCACGCCAGGCTTCCTTGTCCTTCACTATCTCCCTGAGTTTGCTCACTCATGTCCATCGACTCAGTGATGCCGTTCAACCATCTCATTCTCTGTCACCCCCAGGGTGTGTTGGGGTAATTGTAGAAAGGACCATCCCTGGGCAGACAAGAAGGGAAAGAGAGGCAGGAAATGAATAAGAGCTGAGAGCCTGGGGAAGGGGTGACGGTGGAGGCAGAAAAGACGAAGCACGGGGCAAGGCTTGCCTGCGGTAGGGATGGTTCTCTGTCTGTTGTTGTTGGGTTTGGGTGGTACTAGAACTCAAGCAGGCAGGAGGAAGTGTCGTTTTGGAGTGAACGGTTGGGAATGGCAGGCTTCCTGGTGCTCCTGCAGACAGGGCCCTGCCAGCTGCCCACCTCAAGGCCCGGGCCCCAGGCCTGGACCCAAGTGATGCTGCTTGGCCTCTGCTGGGTGGCGCTTGGCCTGGGACTCCACGTCATCTCTGGGGTCTGAGCAACTCAGTTCATGTCCCATCTTCACCACTGCCCTTGGCTGGGTGCATGCTGGGTGCTTTGAGCCACATAGGCCTTGAGAAGAAAATGAAACGCACAGGCTTCATTCTCTTCCCTTCCTGTGGCCCTGTTCTCTTTGACTGCGACCTGCCTGACCCATCTGTCCTGCTTGGGGAGCCTTCCGGTCACTCAGCTCCATCTGTCCCGTGGGCTGCCTGCCTTGCACGCGGGGCCGTGTGTCCAGCCATACCGACCAGACGCGGCTATTTTACATTTCCCCTTAGCGCCTCCCACGTCGCCCCCGACCACGGTGGGTGTGCCTGGCACGGTGAGCAGTACCGATGCCCCTGCCACCACCGCCACCACCGAAGCCACAACAGTCCCCACCGTCCCACCTGTCGCACCTACCACCGCCGCCACCACCGAGGCCACAGCCACTACGGCCTCCACCGCCGCCACCACCACGGAGAGTCCCGCCGCCACCAGGACTGAGATCCGAGAATCGGGTACTGCCCATCATCCGTGCCCCACCCCTCCGCCCGAGAATCGGGTGCTGCCCGTCGTCCATGCCCCGCCCCTCCGTCCATAGGCCTCCCCAGACAGGAGGGGGAGACTGGGTTCTCAGGCTGGTGGCCTCGAGGCGCAGAGCACCCTGCCCCCACTTGGGGGGCGGGGGGTCTCCACCGCGCAGACCCCGTGTCCTAACCTCAGATCCTTGTTCTTTAGCAGAGGGCTACACCACGCAGGCAGGTACTCCAGGTCAGACGGTAGGGCTGCCTCCAGCTCCATACTGAGGGATCGGCTGAGGGCTGAGCTCTGCAGAGGGGGCGAGTGGGGAAGGAGAGGGGCGGACATCGGCCAACTGGCCTACGAAGGCCTCCTGGCCTCGCGGCGTTGCCCAAGCCTTGTGGCAGAGCCTGGGGAGGCGGGAGTAGCCGGCTCTGGAGCCTCTCTTGGAAAAGCAGGTTTAAAAAAAAGAAAAAGAAAAGCAGGTTTATAGGCTTTTTTTTTTAATAAGGTCAGAGCTTCCAGGAAATGGTACTGCCGAGGAGTCCTGAAATGCTGGCGAGTGCTCTGTTGTTCTCCCGCCTAGTATTCCCCACGCCCCCGGATATATACACGGAGGGAAAACCGCAGGCTTTCTAGGGGCCCCTGGGAAGGATCGATCCCAGGGCTAGCCTGCTGAGCCCAGACAATGTGCTGTTCCTGCATCAGGCAGACAGGCCCAGAAGCTCTGTACTTCCAGCCCGCTGAGACCCCTCGGGGACTCAGCAGTGCTTCTGAGAACTGACATAAAACACTCCTATTACCGCGGAGGGGAGGGCCTCCAGCTTGTGGAGCCCAGAGACTAGCTGTGAAGTCAGCGCTATGCAGCAGCAGGGCTGCTGGCAGGAAGCACCCAGAATGCTCCTCCAGCAGCTGCAGGACTGGAGGCCCCATGAGAACTGACATAAAACACTCCTATTACCGCGGAGGGGAGGGCCTCCAGCTTGTGGAGCCCAGAGACTAACTGTGAAGTCAGCGCTATGCAGCAGCAGGGCTGCTGGCAGGAAGCACCCAGAATGCTCCTCCAGCAGCTGCAGGACTGGAGGCCCCTCTCCCCTGGGCACGTCCTTCCACCTGCCAGGGCCGCACTCACCGCACCCCTGTTCTCTCAGCACCTGAGTGAGGATGGAGGCTTAATGCACGTGTGAGTCCTTCCTTTAATCCAGTTACATGGAGTTGTATGAGCCGTGAGACATGCAATGTGTAGCTGACGTGATGCTCCTCAGACCTTGAAAACTGATTTGGCTTAAAGCTGCAGTATCAAAAATGTAAACAGCCTGCTCTGCAGGAAAAACTTGGCTAAGGAGAAACCTGCTAGGCTGTGAGAAGCTGCCACTGGCAGTTTGGTGATGGGTGTTCTTTGGGGCCACGGTGAGGCTTCAGGTGGGCCTGTGTGTCCCACTTGGAGGCTCGGAGCTCACACGAGAGACGCACTGAAAACGAAAACAGGGAGTGGGTCTTGCTCCTTCTGGCAGGGTCGGCCCTGCTGCCGCAGAGGACGAGCCTGTGGACGCGCATGCAGAGTCGCAGCTGCGCTGAGATGCCGCGGGGGCCGGGCCGCTTTGAGCTCGTCCTTACAGGGCCACCTGCACGCGGCACAGGGGCTCTGCTTCCCAGGGTTTCCAAGAGGAGTGTTAATTTTTATCACTTTTTAAACCTAAGGATAAGATTGTTCCTACGTTTTTTTTTTCCGGGTGAAATGGGACTTTGTCCTTAAGTTCTCCGTTTTTGATCTCGAGGGATACCCCTTAAGTCTCACATCTCAGGAGTCGACAGAACAATCCCTGCTTCCCTTCCATTCTTGTTGTTTTTATAGTCATTGATAGCTTTCCTTCTTGCTGCCTCTCTCTGAGCTTTTCATCTCTTTAATGATCATCATCTTGGTATTTCTAGATGGCAGACCCTTCCTCCACCTCCCACAAAAAATCATTTGGTTTCCCATTGCTTACCTTATCTAATAGTGCCCTGATCTCTCCATTGCCTTTAAGACAGTCATCCTTGGGCCAGGGTTGTATTGGTGGTCAAACTGTTTAAACCCAAATCTTTGGGCTTATTTCCAGGGCCCAGAGCTGAGGAGGGAAAATATCAAGTCCCTAAACCATAACCAATCACAGTTCACTCCCACTAGAAAGAGCCATGAGCTTCTAAGGAGCTGGGATTCGGGCTGACTTAAAGCAGCCGATACAGTGGAAACCTTTGACAGATCAGTAAAGAAGCCTGCCTTCTGCCCTGCCTGCGGAGAAGGCCTGGCACCATCAATGGAATCTCTTTCTTGCTCATCACCTAAAATGAATCACATTCACCTGGGACGACCGGCAGCTGACAAGGTTGTAGTAGAAAAGGCGCTTTTTTGGAGTGAAGACCAGGAGATGGTTTATCGCTTCCCCAGCCCTGCAGACTCAGTCACATGTTAGATAGATAATGAATACATGCATCACCACTGTACTCCATTCATTTTTGACAAGTGAGTTGGTGACAATGCCCCCTTGCATGCTAATAAAATATGCAGGAGCCACGCTGGTAAAGTCTTTGAAATACAAGGCTTCATGCCAGTACTCCACTATTAAATCTTTGCTGAGAAATGGGGTAAAGAGACTGCTGGGATGCTTGAAAAATGATTACATTTGAAGATCACTGCCATTCTCCTGTCCACAGGCTATGGTTTCAGATGGTGTGATGGCTTTGATAAAGTGGCTCCCAGCTCATAGGAACTAGATAATTAATGTCTTCTGTGTTGCATGGAGATCAGGGCTCAAAGATACAGTGCTAAGAAGCCAACAGAACAGGATTCTTCTGGTATCTGGACCTCTGGATATTGGATGTCAAGAAGGAGTTATCTTCTGTGGTCCCGTGAAAGGGAGAGGAAGGATTCGTACTGTCTCTTGGAGCCCTGGGGTTTCAGGCCCAAGTCCCGTTAGACGGTCTGAGGCCATTTTTCACAGAGTTCAGGGTCTTGGTGACCAAGAATGACCCCAGGGGCTCTGTGTGATTTGCCACTGTCCGTCTCCAGCTTCAGGAGCACAGTAAGGTTTTCATTTGGCCTTGTCTTTGTGCAGATCTCATCATGACTCTCAAGTGGCATTTCAAGATACCTTTTTCCTTCCTGTAGAATGTCGTAGTTGATGGGAAAGAGGCACATCTCCACCCGCCCTCCCCCCATCTGCATCCTGGCTGACAGGGCTTTTCACTGCATCATTCAAATCTGTGACAGCGCACCTAAAAAGGGAAGGAACCCTGGTCAGGGCCTCCAGTGGCCTGGACCAAACCCACTCTTTCACTCACACCCCCACCTACGTGGACACATAGTTTCCAGCTCTCCCTCACACGCAGGGCCCCGACTGTTCTGCTTGTGCCTGGATGGCGACCTCTGGCCTGGCTGCCAAGGCTGCAGCTTGGAGCTCTGTCAGGCCCCGTGCGTGCCACTTCCTACTTTGCCCTGTCCCAGCTGCCCATGTGTGTGTGTGTCTGTCTGTCTGTCTCCAGTGCTGCCTCCCTCCTCACCACTAACTCCTCTTCTAACCCCTGCCAGCCCCCGACGAGCAGTCCATCTGGAACGTCACTGTGCTCCCCAACAGTAAATGGGCCAACATCACCTGGAAGCACAATTTCGGGCCCGGAACTGACTTTGTGGTTGAGTACATCGACAGTAAGCATTGCTGTGTGGGGCGGCAGCCTTTGCCATGGGTAGTGCAGATGCCGTTGTAGAGATGCAGGGCACTCCCCCAGACTTGGGGAGACCTTTCGGCTGCTCCACTGTGGCTTAGTGAAGTCGATACGTGCTCAGGCGACAGGGGTGGGAAGAGCAAATTCGAAGTGAAGGAGGGGGTTTCTGCGGCCACCAGTGGCGGTCCAGGGCTGCCTTGCTCGGCAGCGGGGGAGGTGCCTGGCTGAGGGCCCTTCATCCCTCTCCTGCCCGGGACAAGGGTTTTGCCAGCACTCCAGTGAGCTCACCCTCGCCACTGTGCGGATTCCTGCAATTAGGACCCGTACTCTTAGCATCTCCCCTGGACATTTGGACCCCCAACTATACTTTGCTCACAGAGGGACGCCAGCTGCCCACAGGTCAGAGACACCGTCCAGGGTCAGACGTCTCAGCTTGAGCTGAGCTGGTCCTCCTCTACTGGATATTGGTGAGGTCAGGGTAGCTGGGTGCAGGCCCCATTCCAGAGGGCTCAGACCCTCCGTGCTGGCCTGTTGGACTTGTGCTGGAAGGGCAGCCGAAGCGCTGAGAGCGAACACAGCCAACCCTCGGTTCTCTGCGGTTGGAGAGAGCGCCACACCCACAGAACCCAGAACTGCTGTACGTTCTCAGTGCTTCCCGTGACCGCCATTCAGCCGCCCCCCAGACACTCAGGCTCTCACTTCTCCTGAAGTGCAAGCTCATGCAGCGAGAAACGAGAGGGGAAACCGGGAGTACAGGCCAGGCGCAGAGGACCATCTTCCCTCCGCCACCCCGGGGGTGCTGAGCAGTCCTCTCCAGGGTAGCAGAGCGCTGACTGGCACCCTGAGAGCCCAAGGGATCAGGTCCTAGTGTTCTCAGAGCCTCAGCCTGTGGCGAGCACGGAAAGCCTCACGAGGGGCAGTGTCCTGCGGGACGGCCTGGCCCCCGTGCCCCAGCGTGCCTCCACTTTTGACGGCGCCCAGGCCTCTAAGCATCGCCTCTCCAGCTCCCCGTGCCTGGCCTTAGGCTGACTGAGGTTTCTGTTCCCCAGGCAACCATACGAAAAAAACTGTCCCTGTTAAGGCCCAGGCCCAGCCCCTACAGCTGACAGACCTCTATCCCGGGATGACATACACGTTGCGCATTTATTCCCGGGACAACGAGGGCATCAGCAGTGCCGTCATCACCTTTATGACCAGTGCAGGTGAGAGGGGTCCGGCCCGGCCGTCCCCGGCAAGCATGGGCATGTCGTGCTCATCCTCAGCTTCCCGCTTGTCTCTCCTCCCGGGAAAGAGGACTCGCCCTCCCCTTCCTCACCTTGCATGGCGCGGTGCGGCTCTCCTTATGTGTCGGTCTGCAGCTACCGGAAAGACAGAATGAGCCAAAGGTGCATGCCAGCAGAGAGGAAACTGCGCGTCTGACCCTGCGGGGATGAGGGGGCATCAGGGGGAAACCGAGGCCATGCAGCCTGAGGACAGGTGGGCCCCCCTGGCCTGCACTGTGCTGCAACCACGAGGGCTCGGTGAGCACAAACATGGTCTGTGGGGGGGGGTCTGGGGGCAGTGCGGCCTGGCCTCACACGGGCTCGCTTCCTGCATGTGGGGTTAGGGGACAGGACCAGGTCTTTACCCCAGAATCTTCCCAGGAACCAAACCAAGGATCGGCATGTATGGCGTTGCCTTGCCACTTAAACACTCAACCATTGTTTAAAAACTCCAAAGTGTGTTACCCGAATTGTTTGCAGCTTCGTTTTAGTTTCACTTATCCCCAGGTTTATCACGGCTTAAAAGTAGTTGACCTTTTGTTGCACTGGGGAGGAGAAACCTTCCAGTCCTAGAAGAGCTCTGGATCTTTCAGGGCTTCAGCTGTGGATGGAGAAGCTGCTTCATTTGTACCAAACCAACAGGGAAACTGGGGCTCAGTAAACAAGGTTCAGAAATCTCTATTGGTCAGGGTGGCTGGCAGTCTGGAGACTGAGGGCATTTGCTTGTCTGTTTGTGTGTCTCTTTAAAATCAGCCGGGCGAGCTGGCCAAGGGGATTTGCTTTTGCTTTATTACAAACTTGAGCCCAGCTCAGAGGCAGAAAGCAAGGATGAGATCTCATGATAGGGTTCCATCCTAGGGAATGCAGCAAAAGCCAGCTTAGCCTGCTTGCAGCGCTTGTCTTCGCCCAGCGCTGGGGGCTGTGGGTGCGGGTTGGGGAGAAAGAGCCGGAGGGGAAGGGCCAGTCCCTGCCCTCAGGGACGTCCCAATCTGCTCTGATGTCCCAGCATTCCATGCAAAGAAAAACAGTGACAGTGATGGACGATGCACTTCTGAACACTGACTCAGATGTTCATTTCTCCTTTCCTGTGGTTGCTATGGAGAGGCTGACCCCGTAGCTTGCTTTCAGGGTGAGTGAGGCCTGCAGCGCTCGCATGTGTACCCACCTCCTCCCCTTGCAAGCTGGAGAACGCAGGCTCGTGACCCTCGCTCTGGGCACTTACTGCTCCCTTTCCTCACAGGCTGGCTGGAAATGACTATGTGCAAACCACATAGAGAAGAAAAATACTTTTACTTTCTAAATGTCATGTGTGCCTGTGAGTGTGTGTCCAGATCCTCTGAAAACACACAAAGGAGTGGGTGTTCACAGAGCCAAGTTCACACAATCCTCTCCCAGGTCCCTGTGTCTCATCAAGTTTATGACCATCTTGGGGCCCATCCACTGGTCTTTAGACAACCACAGGCTATCACTTCTGTCCATAGACTCAGACATGTTACAATGGTTCATGCAGGAAACGGAAAAAAAAAACCACAAGGAATGTTCACAGGCTCCCTGACTCTCACCAGAAAGATCCCACGTGGGAAGTTAATCACTTTCTTGAAACTTTTGAGGCCAAGGAGACCTGAGGGGCCCCCGCACATAACCCTGAATTCCAAGAGACCTGTCAGCTCTCACATCCTGGAGCAGGCTGGATGGGGAGCTGACGGACCCAGCAAGACAAACAGCAAACTGCCTTAGGCCTCAGGGATGTGGGAGGAGGGACATTAGGGGGCCCACCTGCGGTCGGCCTCTTGCTGCTGTGCTGGGAGAAACCCAGGATGGAGTGAGGTGAAGATGGAAAGGTGTAAAATGACGTGTAAGTGAGAGCAGCCCCGCCAAACTGCATTTGAAGAAAGCCCGTCTCTGTCATATTTGTTCATCCACCCTATTTCTGAAATACAATTTTTCTGCCTGCTTTGAGTGACTGGCCTCTCTCCGAAGATCAGACCAATTTCCTCTTGATTAACGTGAAGAGTTAAGGGGACTGTCTGCTTTGCAAGTGAACTACACATTTCCGAGCGGGGTTGTAGAGTATGGTTGTGGAAGGTGCACAAAGTGTGGCCTCTAGGCCAGAGTAGGACGTATCAGAACCTGTGTGTTCCCAGTGAACGGGTGCTGCCCTGGGTTCCATTAGCTCCGGCAAAGGTAGTAAATGTAGATATCCACTGATCTTGGGATGTTGCTATTACTGTGACCATTAGAGATCTGGAAACATGTTGATTGATTAAGAATGGTCTTGGCAGACAAATGCAACTGCCCTGAAGCCCTGCAAAAATGCCTCCTCCTCTCAGAGTCTGTGCGGTCATGTGAGTGAGATTGTGTCCTAAATTTCTTTTGATTCTTGAGAAACTAAATCATTTTTGTGGAGTCTGATTGACCCCACCTTACCCCAGATTCTGCTGGGTTTTTTGTTTCTTTGTTATTGTGTATCATTGACACTGATGAGTTTTAGGTGTACAACATAATCGTTTGATCTATGCAAAATGATTATCACTACAAGTTTAGTTAACACCCGTCACCAAACATAGTTACAAAATCTGCTTGATTTTGAAGAGCCTTGTGTGTCCAAACGTCACAGAAAATTCTTTGATCTTTTCAGTGAGGACTGAAAGTAACATTTGAACTTTGCATGGTGATATCAGGAATGGAAAGCTTATTTAATTTGTGAATTTCTCATATGGCCACCTTCCCTGGAATTGTGCCTTTCTTTCCCAAGAGAAAGGAGTCTCATGGGAGACAGCTGTCAGCAAGATAGTGGAGCAAACAGGTTACTGCAGACATTCAGACCAACTTCTTTGCAAAAAGTGGAAACCACCGCTCAAACATAAGTTGAAGTGACTCCTTCATCCCAGCACCCAGGTGGCATGTGGTGAAGCCAATATCCTTGTGACCCCTCAACTGGTTCCAAGAGAAAATGAAAGAGATAGCCCATGTTAACCTTAGTGGTGGTGGTGGTGGTGGTTTATTTGTCCAAGTCTTGCAACCCCATGGACTGTAGCCTGCCAGGCTCCTCTGTCTATGGGGTTTCCCAGGCAAGGATGCTGGAGTGGGTTGCCATTTCCTTCTCCATAGTTATATTAGGATTAAATTGGTCAGTAGTCAGTAAGTAGTCAGTGATGACTTGTTAGGTGACCAGCGTCATGCTAAGGACAAGGGGGCTCAAAGGATCCCCAGGTCTCCATCCTTTGTAATATCCTTGGACATCAGAACCCAGGAAACAGAGCAATTAAATGTTGCACCATGTAGAGTGAATGGGGTTGAAATTGGAGTTTAAGAGACTGCTGTGAGCTGGAGGAATGGGAGATTCAGGAAGGAGGGGGCCGAACGTGGAAAGGGGAAGGACAGGAAGGGTGGCCGTCCAGGCACTCGGGCCGGGTGGGGAGGGTGCAGAAGGGAAAGATCAGAGCACCTGACTTGATTGCAGTGTTCTAGAAACATAACAGCATGATGGATCATTGTATCCTTGGAGTCTGATGAACACAGTGGTGAGCAGAACCCTTTAGAACTGGGTAGTAACATGACTACCGGAGACGTTTTGGAAGGAGTAAACGATAGCCCTTAGAGGCGAGTTGTGAAGGTGCTGGCAGAAGCAGGGGGCAGATTGATGATCCAGGGAGATGTCAGGAGCAAGCCCTGGGCTTACAGTGTGGAACTGGCTAGAAGGACAAGGAGAGATGAAAGACATTTAGAAAGGCATGGCCGGAGGAGTGGTGAGAGTTGGAGTCCAGGGTGTTGCGATGAGTTTGGGAAAGACGCCCTTGGTGATGGTGGATGAGCACTGAGTGCAGCAGGCTCTGAGGCCAGCACATCAGGGCACAGAAGGGAGTTGGCAGGAATTGGCGATGATGGTGGAAGGTTGAAGAGTTTACCTGTGAGAAGACAGTGTGCGCATGACAGCCAAAGAGTCTGGCAGGTTCCTCAGAGATGTTGTCTTAAAACAGGGAGCTTCAGCGTGTTTAACGGAGAAAGGGAAGAGGGAGCACAGGGGAAGAAACTGAAAAATGCTCGAGTTTTCAGAGATCCTTACAGGACTGGGCCACCAAGGAAGTGAGGGGTTGGGTCCCTGCAGCGGGGAGAGACGGGAGCCCCCTCAGGAATGGAAGGAGGCAGTTGTGGAGGCTGTGAAGCTTCAGTGGTCTCCAGTGAGGAGCAGGTGAGCGCGACACCAAGACGCAGACGGGGGGGAGGGCCACGTCGGATCAGCGGGCGCGAGAGGGGGAGCAGCCAGGGGAGCGGAAGGGTGACCAGGCTGCGTGGAGGTCCTGGTGAAGTCTGACTCCGTGCGTCTGTGACGGGCCTGGTTTGCATCTCAGCAAAGCTCACTGTAAGAGCAGAAGAATGCAGTAATTGCCAAGGGGCCCCGCAGCCGGCGACGGAGTCAAGTGCTGCTGACACAGAAGGGAGGGCAGCGTGGAGCCCGAGGAGGCAGAGCCCCACCAGGCCGAGAGGCCGAGGTGGCGGGCCACGGGAAGGAAGCCGAGGAGCAGATGGGAACCGGGTGCCCTGTGTTCCGGGCTCTGGCCCAGCCCTGGGGGACGACAGTAAGCCTGACAGCCCCGCCTTCAGGAGCTTACCTTCTGAGTGGAGTGGTGAAGAGCACAGACTCAAACCGGACAGCCTGGGGTCACAGCTCAGTCAGTTGCCTCACCTGTGAAACAGGGTCATAGTACAAATCCACTTTTATGCCTTTTCATACTGTTCATGGGGTTCTCAAGGCAAGAATGTTGAAGAGGTGTGCCATTCCCTTCTCCAGTGGACCACGTTTTGTCAGAACTCTCCACCATGAAACATCCATCTCAGGTGGCTCTGCACAGCATGGCTCATAGTTTCATTGAGTTACACAAGGCTGTGATCCATTTTGGTTAGTTTTCTGTGATTGTACTTTTCGTTCTGGAGGCCATGGGCTGCAGTTCTTGCTTCTTCTTGAGGAGAGGGGATGACAGAGGATGAGATGGCTGGATGGCATCACTGACTCAGTAGATACGAGTTTGAGCAAGCTCTAGGAGATAGAGGACAGGGAAGCCTGGGTCGCAAAGAGTCGGACACGACTTAGTGACTGGACCACAAATCCACCCTATGGGACTGTTGTGAGGGTTAAACTAGATAATCATGAGAAAGGGCTTTGAGCCGTGTCAGCCCATAGGAAGTGCTTAGAAGTGTAAGCTGTTAGCAGCAGCAGTATAGCCAGTTGTTATAAGTGCTATGAAAAGGGCAAATTCAGTCCTGCAGATATGAGTGGCTGGGTGGGAAAGAGCTTTGTCTTAGCTGGGAAGGTCCAGGAAAGCCTCTCTGAAGAGATGACATTTGCTGAGGCTGCCGCCTGAAGACAGAACATCAGATGGAGAGGACCCCGAGGCAGGCATGCGAGCGGCCGGAGCAGCCAGGGTGGGCAGAGCGGCTGGCATGTCTGGAATGGCCGGGGTGGCGGGAGACAGGACTGCTGGAGCCCGGCGGGTCAGGATAAGGAGTAGAGGGGTTTTCCTAATGATGACGAGAAGCATTGGAGGTTGAAGTGAGGAGGTAATCTGACCCTCTGTGGGGCTTGGGAAGACCTCTCAGATCTTGTGTGGGACATAGCCTGTGGACGCAAGGGTGGGACCTCCCCCACAGCACCCAGGTCAGTGTAGTCATGGCCATGTTGTTCTTGAACTTTCCATCCCGGAGTGCCTGGGCAGCCAGAGTGCAGAGAGAGGGGAAGGTCTTATTCATCGTCTTCATTGTTCATTGAGACCCGTCTTGATGCAAGGTCCTTGGCTGGATGCTGAAAACACGGTAGAGACAGTTTCTTTGCCCATGAAGAGCAAAGGGTAGGCCACACCTGGATACCTGCCCTGCATGATGGTGTGATGCAGACCCTGGGGAGCACCTGGGGGTCCTGTCGCTGTGCCTCTCCCCTAGGAGGCCCAGAGCCTCGGCTCAGGCTGCGTGGCTCCCAGCACTCCCACCATTGTCTGGGTCTCCCAGAGGCTGTTCCGCTGGCTCTGCCTGCCCGGGGGTTCCCTGCGGTCTCCTCTGTCCCTCATCCTGCCTGTCCTCCCAAGTCGTGGTTTCCATGGAAGGCTGCATCTTTTCTTCAGTCTGTAGATAGGAAGAGGGCAGGTGACTCCTATGCACCCCACCCCTTTCCATCTCTGACCTCAGTCGTGAGTCCTCCAGGACACCATCAGACGTGCCTCCGGTCTCCAGGCCCACGCAGCTTGCCCCTGGAGTCATGAGGGGGTCTCCCGCTTTGAGACAGGCCTCCCCATGTCCAGGCAGGGATGGCAAGGGGCCATCTGTCACAGGGGTCTCCGCGTGGGGTGTGCTGAAGGCACGGCCCCTCCACTGGCCCACCTGAGGTGCCGGTGCGGGGACGTGCTTGCTGTTAGCCGCAGTGCAGGTGGAGAGACGCGAGGGGGCATGAGGCGCCCTGGACTGCACCCCGCCCGGGTCCCGGTTCGGGGACAGATCTCTGTCCCAGTGTGTGTGCTGGCCTGCGAAGGTGCTCCACCAGGGGTGTGTGTGTGACCGCGGCCCCGTTCCCGGGGGGGCAGCACGCTAGCTCAGCCCGCCTCATTCACAGGGAGTCACAGTCAATCACTGGCCTTCCCTCCTTCCCCACCAGGCTGTGCCCAGCCAGTGTTTGCACGAATGCCAGTGCCTCAACCTTAGGACAGTTCTCTTCCCAAAGGACCTGCTCAGCCTTCTGCTGCTTATTCTGTCCCCTCTGCTCCTTCCTTGTGCCTCTTTCCTGACCTTTTGCCCTTGCCTTCTTAATGACCATCTCTTCATCCCTGGAGAGGGGTGGTTTGAGCCAGAGAGCTGCCGGGTGGGAGCCGTAGGCCGCAGGAGGACCCTGGCCATGAACTAGCTGCAGTTCTGCCTTCCACTTCCCTGCTGCTTTGTGAACCACTCACTCACGTGTGCCCCTCTGGCCTCCCCCGCAGCCTACACCAACAACCAGGCGGATATCGCCACCCAGGGCTGGTTCATCGGGCTCATGTGTGCCGTCGCCCTGCTGGTGCTGATCCTGCTCATCGTCTGTTTCATCAAGAGGAGTCGCGGCGGCAAGTACCCCGGTAAGATGTGTCCACGGAGCCGGCTCAGGCGACGGGGCCAGCAGACTCTTCTGTGAGTCACCGGGCCCCTGCTGGGGGGCGCCATTCTCTCAGCGAGCACAGCCCTTCCCCAGGCTGGGATTTACTGTCCTCTTGCCTGTTCTGTGCATCTTAGAGTTGCCAGAAAGCACTTGAGTTAATTAAGCTCCCCTGAGGTGGGGGGATGGAGCGGTCCGGGCAGCCAGAGAGGGGGTGGAAGGAACCCTGGCTCCCATTAAGAGTGACCTTCCCACCCCTGGACTCAGCACCCATCTGCTCGGTAATTGGCTTTTTTCAGCCAGAATCTCATTAGGATCCTGTATCCCAGGGAAGGAGAGAGGAGAGATGCTTTTCTGTAACCATGAGAAAACGAGACTGGAGGGAGGAGAGGCCTGGACGGAAGCGGCACACACAGGAGAGAGGCTGTGGAGCGGGCTCTCGGCTCCCGCAGCGCGCACGGCATGCGGGGTTGCAGTCACAATACCCCAACGGGGGGGCAGAGGCCCTACGTGAGGAGCAGGCGGGGGGGCGGGTGGGGCGTAGGCTGCACGGAGAGGAACCCCACCCCTCGCCAGTCCTTGAAGGGCTTTGGGCTTTCCTTGAGTCCCAGAGAGCTACTTCTGTTGTGTGTCCTGAAGACCCTCCAGCCCAGACGAGCCAAGGTCACGGACAAGGACCTCTGGCTTTTTTGTTTCTGGAAATATTGATTGTTCTTCAGACAGGGACAAGAAAGCCATCTGTCTGTGAGGGGGTGGGGAGGGCGACAGGAGACAGGATAATGGATGACCCTGAGAGTGAAAGTCCAGCTGGACTGCAGGATGAGATTCCTCCCTGCCCCCAGAGCTATCACCAGGCACACCCTGTGCTATCCAGGTGCTGGCTTCTCCCCACCTCTGTGAACAAGTCCTCCACGATCCCCTGAAACTCACCACAGAGAGAGGAGATTCTGTTTTACTTGCTTCCTCTGGCCCACGTGTTCTCAGGCCCTAGGATTCTGAAGGACTCCTTGAAGGACTCCTTCAAGTCAGGAACGGCAGGAAATTATACTTCATTATTGGTGAATGATAGAGAGGGAAATGGCAGTCCACTCCAGTATTCTTGCCTGGAGAATCCCCATGGACAGAGGAGCCTGGTGGGCTACAGTCCATGGGGTTGCAAAGAGTTGGACGGGACTGAGCGACTTAGCACTTAGCATGCATATTGGTGAGTGATTCCTTCACTTTGTTGTGCTGTGTTGGAATTGTTTTTCTTCTGTAAGAAAGAGTGAGGAAGGGCGGCCTTTCTGATCTCACTCCTTGTTCGAGGTGGAACTGGGACACCTGAGAACTGATCAGATAACTCTGGACCTTCCTCTGCCCATTTCAGAAAGTTCTTAGAGTTAAGCTCCTTACATCAGGAAGATGAATGAACCAGGAGCTGTGAGACCAGGGCTCCAGAGTCCACTCCAAACTTTGTTTAGTTGCTAACTGTTAATGTGACACTTCCCAGACCTCAGCTTCCCTCTGCTAAAATAGGGGTGATTATCCTGCCTTGTACCTCAAAAAGAAGCATAGTCATTCACCCAAGTGTCTGCGGTGTGCCAGTCCTTGTGCTGGGGGTTCTAGAAGTGACCGCTCCGTCAAGGACCGTGCAGCTGGTGCAATAGGAGGGTCCCAGCACAAGACAGGGCCTGGGAGGAATGCTGACCCTTCACAGAGGGCTGTGGGAAAGGGGAGTCGTGCAGACAAGTGGGGTCCCAGTTAGGAGAGCACCTGCCGTTGAGGGGCATCTGCAGTGTGTCCTCTCTGCCCAGCGCACTCTCCTAGGAGCTTTGAAGAGACACACAGTCCCCACCCTCAAGAAAAGAACTGGCATTCTACTATGGGCGTCATAAATGTGCACAAGTAATTGTAATGCAGAGCAGGATTAAGAAAGGTGCCAAGGAATTCCCTGGCAATCCAGCGGTTAGGACTCTGTGCTAAGGAGTGCAGGAGGCATGGGTTGGATCTCTGTTCAGGGCACTAAGATCTCGCTTGCCACACAGTGTGGCAAAAAAGAAAGTTGCCAAGAAAAGGACGGCGTCCATTAGGTGTTTGGGGACGACCTCATGGAGAGGTTGAGGCGAGCCAGGTCAGGGAAGATTTCAGTGGTCAGTGGAGATGATGGCAAGGAGGCGGCGGAATTAGCTTGGAACCTGCTTAAATGGGGGAGGCAAGAACCAGAGGGCGTGGGTGGTGCTGTATTGAGGAAGAGAGGTATTGAACCCAGAGGCCACGTCTTTGGCTGTACCTAAGGGCCAGTCATCACCTCTGTGTCTTTGTTTCTCTTCCTGACCAAGTGCGAGAAAAGAAGGATGTGCCCCTTGGACCTGAAGACCCCAAAGAAGAGGATGGCTCCTTCGATTACAGGTGTGCGGTCCCCTTCACTCCTGCTTACGCATAGCACCGTGTCTGCTGGGTTTTCCTTCTTGCCCTCAGAGCTGACACCTGGGCTCAGAGGCCACCGCGTGGATGTCCTCCCATCCTGCTGTCACCTCTGCCTGTGACGGGAGCACCGCCCAACACACTCACACTCATTTGATGAACTGCATTTTATTCATCCAGCTGCACAACTCAGGCTTATTGTGTTCTTTGTGTGTGTGTTGCCACCTTTTTGCTCTGAAAGCAAGCCCCAGGCTCCCTCTTGCTGTGAAATGAGCTCTGCAATCAGCTTCCCATCTGCCTGTACCCCACTCCGGCCCTGAGAATGGTGACGACACGGGGAAGCTGTATTATGTTTGAGACTCGGGAGGTGAGGGATACAGGGAGCAGTGTTCTGGGCTTTTCCCTCAGGACCTAGAAGGAATCTCTGGGCTGCAGCCTGGAATGGGCCTTGGACTGCGTTTGGTCCGGCGCCCGTGTCCCCAGCGAGAGGGCCAAGGCCCAGGCTGGGAAGTGTCTGGCGGCTTATAGACTGTCTGTCTGTCCACTCTCTGCATCCTCATAAGCCTCCCAAGGGCAAGCGTGAGAGGCCCTTCCCGGACGGTCCTCAGCACCCCTCGTGGGGCCCAGCTTCCCCAGAGGCCGCGGGTCCTTCTCTGGCCGTGAGTCCCGGAGGGCCTGGACCTTCCCTCCCCAGACCCTCAGTGCAGCCCGAGGTGGTGTGAGGGACGGGCCCAGGGACCTGTGCTGGGAGAGCTGCTTCCTCGGGGACCTCTCCTCCCAGACACCACAGTTGCTGGGTGAAAGCGTCTGCTTCCTCCCCACTCCCACCCCCAGCCCCACTGACTCTGAGGCTGGAGACACAAATACCGGTGCGTGCACGCACATGCTTACACACACACACAGCTTGGCTGTGGCTCTGGGGGGCCTGCAGCGTCCATCCTGGAGCCCCACTTGGATGAGTCCAAGAGTCAGAACTTGGGAAGGGCCAACATAGGTGTGTTAGAGGAAAACCAGGTTCCCAGGAGGGACAGGCTGGGGTGCGGGCTCACCCTGGTCTGTCTGCCTGGTCCTCAGAGGTCTTCTGGAAGGGAGGCGAGCGGGTGCCTAGACCAGGGGTCACAGTCGTTTCCCGGATGTAGGTCCTGTTTCCCCACCAGAACCTGACACAGTGAAGACCGCCCCCACACCCACTGGGCCAGCCTGTCTGGTGACTGCATGCAGCTCGGGGGTGTGGAGTTCACAGGAATCACACAGACACAGTCAGCACGGCCCTGCAGCGGGAGTGGGGAGCCCTGGGGAGAGGGTGCCTGTGAAACAGAGTGGCAGGTGGGGTGAGGAGCTTGGTCATTAGAATCTGCTGGTTTTCAAAACATGAGTTTCACCCCCTGAACAAAGATAACGTAACCCTGGAGACCCACTCCCTCTCAGCTGCCCCTCCCGCAGCCCTGCCGTCAGTTAGGCCAGGAGACAGGGCCCCTGTCGCCCAGCGCGGCGGCGGTAGCTGCTAGCTTCCCGCCTGCTGGTGCCCAGCTCCTCTGCTCTGGTTTGCAGCCCTCCCCGCCCCCAGCAGCTGCCTTTGCCCAGCACTGTGGCAAGAGCTCCCTTTCCACTCTGGTGACATCCAGACAATTGTTTGCCCCAAGCGCAGGGACGGCGAGGTGTGGCCTGGGGCAGAGGAACAGGCTGCGGGGTACCTGCTCAGCCTGCCAGGATCTCTCTCTCTGAATTGCAGCACCTGGTCCCCGCCTCGGGGGATGGGATGCAGTGCCAGAGCAGATGCCCGCCGCCCCGAGGTATCTCCCTCCCTTGGGGCACAACAGGCACCCCAGCAGGCAGATGCCACTGTAAACTACCAGCTCTCTCTGCGTGAGAGGAGCTTAAGGGCAGGGCCTGCAGAGCCTCCGAGGGAGCTGGGCACAGTCCTCTGCGCCTGGCTAGTTTTGTCTCTGATTGCTGGCCCTCCTGTCTTATACACACACCCTCAAGCCTCCGTCCACTAGCCCTGAAATGGCAGCATCTTTTTGTGGATAAACCACAGCTAAGGGTAACACCGCCAAGAAAGAGAAGAGGAAAGGCAGGGAGGGGTTTGTCTCAGGCTCGGACCCTCGCTTCTTGCCAAGGGCAGTCTTTCCAGGAGAGTCACAGATCACAGAGTCAGAGCTAGATGAACGCTCTTGATGGCAGGGCTAAGGCCCAGTGAGAAGGAAGGACTTTCCCAAAGCCTCAAGGACACACTTGGGACCAGAACTCAGAGTCCTTGACCCCTTTCTTTGACCCTTCCTGTCCCCCCGGTCCACAAGCAGTTCCCTCCACCTCCTGGCGGGGTGGCTGCTTCTGCCTGCTTCCACCCCAGAGAGCCAGCAGCCCAGCCTCTCAGAAAAGACCCCCGCCCAGGCGTCCAGGAGTGTGGGCCCATCCCGGCCCCACACTGGCCTGCCCCTCTGCCTGGAGAAGTGTCCTCCCTCGGCCGCAGCTTCCCTCTGCAGACCTGGCCAGACAGGGCCGATGGGGCTGGGTCATCCTGGGGTCCGGTCCTCTGAGCAGCAAGTGCCTGGCGAAAGGCTGGAGGCCCTCTCCCTTCCGGGCAGGGTTTGGGCAGCACTGGGTGGGCTGGCTCTGATCCACTGTCTCTCCCCGGGCAGTGACGAGGACAACAAGCCCCTGCAGGGCAGCCAGACGTCCCTGGACGGCACCATCAAGCAGCAGGAGAGCGACGACAGCCTGGTGGACTACGGCGAGGGCGGGGAGGGCCAGTTCAACGAGGACGGCTCCTTCATCGGCCAGTACACGGTCAAGAAGGACAAGGAGGAGACGGAGGGCAACGAGAGCTCGGAGGCCACGTCGCCAGTCAACGCCATCTATTCTCTGGCCTAACGGAGGCTTGCAGGCACAGCCGCTACTCTGCAAGCAGGAGGAGGGGAGAGGGGGAGATGAGCCGCCGCAGACCTGCCCCAGAGCTGCCACCACCTTCAGGGACGGGGGAACAGCACGAGAGGCTGCCAAGCCGTGAGGACCAGCGACCGCCCAGCCGACCACAAGCCCCCTCCCGATGACCCCCCGGTGCCACCTGTGGGCAAGCTGCTGCCTCGGCTCAGCTCCGCTGGAGGGAGCCCCGGTCTCTCACTCAGCCTCACAGTCACCCCAGGCCTCCGCCACACTGCCCGCCCCCGACCTCCACACACACACTCACCGGTTTTCTGTTGGTTACAGTCCTCGTCGTCTTTATTTTTGCTCTGTGAGTCTTCCCCCTGCAGACCCAACATCTCCATTTTCTTTTCCTTTTGAAGAAATGTCCCTGGAAAAAGAAACGATAGGCGGATTCTCCCCCAGGAAACTGCAAAGATAGGCAAAAAGGATTGCTCTGTAAGCGAACATACAGAAGACCTATAGTATTCAAACTGCTGCTGGGCCCATGTATTTCCCAAGGATGCCTTTCTCATCACATGCCTCCCCAGACCCCCAACCCCTCCGCCTCAGCCTTGCCAGCTGCTGAGCTTGGGCTTGGCTCCTTTCTGGGAAACGACAGTATTTTTGGCAGGGAGGGAGAGGGGGGTCAGGCCTCCTTGCCTGGCTCTGGTTCAGCTGGGGGCGGTGGGCTTACCTCTTGCTCCTCGCTCTCACCCTGCCCCTTGCTCTGGAGCATCCAAGACAAAAGCTGTGCTGACTGAAGGAGTCTGAGGAACAGGAGTGGGCATCAAGGCGAAGGACTTTGGCTCCAATGACCGTGTACCTCAAGCAGAGGGAAGCCAGGCGTCTGGTCCCTGGGGAGCCGTTCGCGCCCCGAGAGAGAAGGGAAGGGCTGGGTTTGGACTGCCTTCCTCCTCCTCAGTGAGACTCAGGATGTGGGGCAGAGGACCACGCCCCCCGCATCCAGGGTGGGGGCCGCCCCCTACCAGGTCAGGGTCTGTGCTGCTGCCCCCCGGGAGACAGACCCAACAATGCGAAGGCTGTGCTGGTGTGCCTGGGGGTGGAGCAGCACTCCCCTTGGGTGTCTGGCCGGTAGCCTCTCCTCGGTCGGCTCTGTGTGATGGTGAACCTGGTGTCTTATGGTGTGTGGATGGGGTGCGGCTGCCCCCAGGACTGAGCCTGTGTGTCCGTTCCTTAGGGTGTTCATGTATCAGGAGCCCCCTCAGGACCGCGGTACTCAGTGCTGCAGAGAGCCTGGCAGCGCTCTTCGTATGCCTTATGCAGCTCTGAGCTGTCCCTGCAGTTCCCAGGTCCCCAGCCCCTCCCTGCAAGCCTTGAAGCCTCCAGTGACACCTGTCTCAAGGAGAGTGGGGCGGCCTATGCAAGCGTCCCAGCAGAACCAGAAGCAGCCACTCAACACGTGCCCCAGATGGAGACACTCGCAGACCTGCGGTTCTCAGAGACCCAAGGCTCTGCCTTCATCCTCCCCACCTATTCCATTTTGAAACCAAAGGTACCTAGCCTCAGACAGAGAGATCCTGAGCCTAAGCGTAGCCCTTCGGCTGTGGGTGCAGCCAGAGCTGCTTTTAGGAGGGTGGAGCTGACCCCCAGAGTGGACCGCCTGCCACAGACACAGCCTCTGGCTGCTTGCCAGGGCACCTGGGCAGGAGCAGTGCTGTGTCCTTCAGAGACCTTATTTAAGCTTCGTTTGCCACACCTTTAAGCCACAAAGGTATTAGCAATGCTTGCACCCCTTACTGGTCAGTTTAAGGTCAAGCCTCTAGACACGTGTACTGTGCAGATAAGAAAAGGTAGCCCCGAGCCGCACCAGTTGTGCCGTTTGGACCCATGGGCAGGCAGGTACCCGCTGGCCCGAGCCGCGGGAGGTGTGCAGGCAGGAGGCCTGAGGCGGCTCTCACGGTCAGAGGGACCATGTGACCGGTAGGGGCTGGGAGCTAGCTCAGGGGTGCCCTCCCCAGGCTTCCACCCCCCACCTGCATGGATGCCGCTGGGCATTCCTGGAGCCTGGGCAGGGAATGCCGGGGAGGTGTGCCTGTGTGCTGATTCTGGGAAACGCTCTGGCTCGGAGCAGAGCAGTCGCTTCTCAGGCCTCCACATCGCTCTGCACTCGCGCTGGAAGCAAGCTCTGCAGGCAGGGTGGACGGTGCGCTGTCGTCATACGGTCCCCCTGCCTCAGGAAAGCCCTTCTTCACACGACCCGTGCCAGGGGAAGGGGTTCCGCGCCTTCACATGCCTCCCCAGACCCCCAACCCCTCCGCCTCAGCCTTGCCAGCTGCTGAGCTTGGGCTTGGCTCCTTTCTGGGAAACGACAGTATTTTTGGCAGGGAGGGAGAGGGGGGTCAGGCCTCCTTGCCTGGCTCTGGTTCAGCTGGGGGGGGTGGGCTTACCTCTTGCTCCTCGCTCTCACCCTGCCCCTTGCTCTGGAGCATCCAAGACAAAAGCTGTGCTGACTGAAGGAGTCTGAGGAACAGGAGTGGGCATCAAGGCGAAGGACTTTGGCTCCAATGACCGTGTACCTCAAGCAGAGGGAAGCCAGGCGTCTGGTCCCTGGGGAGCCGTTCGCGCCCCGAGAGAGAAGGGAAGGGCTGGGTTTGGACTGCCTTCCTCCTCCTCAGTGAGACTCAGGATGTGGGGCAGAGGACCACGCCCCCCGCATCCAGGGTGGGGGCCGCCCCCTACCAGGTCAGGGTCTGTGCTGCTGCCCCCCGGGAGACAGACCCCACAATGCGAAGGCTGTGCTGGTGTGCCTGGGGGTGGAGCAGCACTCCCCTTGGGTGTCTGGCCGGTAGCCTCTCCTCGGTCGGCTCTGTGTGATGGTGAACCTGGTGTCTTATGGTGTGTGGATGGGGTGCGGCTGCCCCCAGGACTGAGCCTGTGTGTCCGTTCCTTAGGGTGTTCATGTATCAGGAGCCCCCTCAGGACCGCGGTACTCAGTGCTGCAGAGAGCCTGGCAGCGCTCTTCGTATGCCTTATGCAGCTCTGAGCTGTCCCTGCAGTTCCCAGGTCCCCAGCCCCTCCCTGCAAGCCTTGAAGCCTCCAGTGACACCTGTCTCAAGGAGAGTGGGGCGGCCTATGCAAGCGTCCCAGCAGAACCAGAAGCAGCCACTCAACACGTGCCCCAGATGGAGACACTCGCAGACCTGCGGTTCTCAGAGACCCAAGGCTCTGCCTTCATCCTCCCCACCTATTCCATTTTGAAACCAAAGGTACCTAGCCTCAGACAGAGAGATCCTGAGCCTAAGCGTAGCCCTTCGGCTGTGGGTGCAGCCAGAGCTGCTTTTAGGAGGGTGGAGCTGACCCCCAGAGTGGACCGCCTGCCACAGACACAGCCTCTGGCTGCTTGCCAGGGCACCTGGGCAGGAGCAGTGCTGTGTCCTTCAGAGACCTTATTTAAGCTTCGTTTGCCACACCTTTAAGCCACAAAGGTATTAGCAATGCTTGCACCCCTTACTGGTCAGTTTAAGGTCAAGCCTCTAGACACGTGTACTGTGCAGATAAGAAAAGGTAGCCCCGAGCCGCACCAGTTGTGCCGTTTGGACCCATGGGCAGGCAGGTACCCGCTGGCCCGAGCCGCGGGAGGTGTGCAGGCAGGAGGCCTGAGGCGGCTCTCACGGTCAGAGGGACCATGTGACCGGTAGGGGCTGGGAGCTAGCTCAGGGGTGCCCTCCCCAGGCTTCCACCCCCCACCTGCATGGATGCCGCTGGGCATTCCTGGAGCCTGGGCAGGGAATGCCGGGGAGGTGTGCCTGTGTGCTGATTCTGGGAAACGCTCTGGCTCGGAGCAGAGCAGTCGCTTCTCAGGCCTCCACATCGCTCTGCACTCGCGCTGGAAGCAAGCTCTGCAGGCAGGGTGGACGGTGCGCTGTCGTCATACGGTCCCCCTGCCTCAGGAAAGCCCTTCTTCACACGACCCGTGCCAGGGGAAGGGGTTCCGCGCCGAGAGGGTGGCGGGGGCGGCGAGCCCTCAGCCTGCCTCTGCGCTCTGTCCGTGTCCTGCCAGGCGTGCCCCTCCTTGTGAGCGAGGACGGTGCCGCCAGCCCCCGTGCGCGCTGCTGTGCGCAGAGGCGCGCACCGCGTGGCCGCCGCCCTCCTGGCAGGCGGGGGCCCAGCGGGCTGTGTGGGCCGCGGGGTTAGGCCGAGGAGCATCCATCTTCCATGGAACCCGCGCCAGAGCCCACCCAGCTCGGCCGGAGAGCAGTATTGCCCAGCGCTCCCTGCCAAGCGGGGTGCTCCGGAGCCACCCCGAGCATCCCCACCGCAATGCCAGGAGAGGTCCACCGCTGGTGCTTCGACCCGCCTGGCCACGGGCAGCGGAGGGGGCGGAAGTGAAGACCGTTTCCGGCTCCGGAAACCCCCAGCCTGAGCCCCCACCCGCCAGCTGGGCTAGGCCACGGCGTCTTGTGCGCTCAGCCGTCCGTCCGTCTGCTCCGCAGATGCGCGGGAGCAGCTGGCCTGAGCCCTGGAGACCGTGGTAACTGGCGGCCGCGGCCCCTGGCCTCAGCGCTGAGTCTCGTGATAGGCGGTTCTGCATGCTCGAGCCACCAGTGGCTGCAGGCCGAAGGGAAGGTCCTTGCAGGGAGAGCTTGCTTCCCCAGGCTGGGCCAGACGGGAACGGTCCTCCCGGCTGCTCTGCTCCGCGCCTTGGGGCGGGCTGCCTGATTGTCTGTATCTCGGTGCCTCTGTCTCCCCTAGGCAGTCCCTCCCCTGAAGACCTGTCCCCACAGAGGGGCACGTGCCCAGCTAAAGGAGCGGGTGCCAGTCTCTAGGGAGCGCACCCCCGCAGGGCCGGGGGACAGCGCCTGCCCCCTGGCCCAGGTCGTGGTGAACAGGCCCCTTGGCCCCTTGCCTTGCGTTTGAGGAAATGGTTGTGTTTGTGCTTGTCCCCTGTCCATCGCCTGGGCCCCCTTCCCAGCAAGTCCCGAGGCCTAGAGAAACGCTCACCGGTCCGAGAGGCTGCCGGGTTAGGAATGCTCTCCCCACAAGACATCTGTGGCCTGAGCCCAGAGAGCACTTTCGTGGTTTCCCTGAACACAGTCAGCCTTAGAAGAGGGCTGGAAACAGATTCGTGCATATTTGTGGCTTTTTCAGCCAAGGGAGGGCTTCCCTGGCTCATGCTTGGCACCCACTCGGACATGCACACGCAGCAGACCGAGGCCCCATCGCCGGGCAGCCCTTTCAGGAAATGGCACAGAGCATGGCCTTGTCTTGAAGAGGCTGAGCCCACTCCCAGACACGGAGATGAAATGTGAAGGGCTGTGTGGGGAAGTGTGTTGGAAGTGTCGGGGCAGGGGTAGGAGGCTGCCCATGCTGGACCCCGTCTGGGCGATTCCTGTGGGCAAACCCAGGACCGAGTCTGATCCAAAGGAGAGGGAGTTCTCCCTGGGAACAGCACGGGCAGCAGCTCTCCAAGGCTGTTGGAGCCCTTTGCAAGGTCAGGGCCAAGTCACAGAGCATCCCGAAAAGCCGTGTGACGAGAGCAGCGGGAGTTTCCTACCCTCGCCTCAGTCTTTGCGAGGCTGCTCCGCTAAGGGCTAAAGAGGGGAGGCTTCCCGGCTTCTCACCAGGGGGGCGGGGAGGGCTTCTCTGTGGGAGGACGCAGCACACGCTCCCTGTTTGTGATGTCTTGGTCTCTCCGCAAGCAGCCACATACACCCCGGCCTGTGCTGTGATTCAGCCCCTGGGAAAAGAAACCACCCTGCAGATCCTGGTTGATCACTATGTGGTGGGCTTAAGAGGTGCATAGAGGGAGATCCTTGATTAAAATAAATCAGAGGAGTCAACAAATAAAGCAAAGAACTTGTAATTATGGGAGGACACTCAGTGGCCTTTGCAGAGCCCAACTCCTGGGCAGCCCCTCCTTTAGGCCAGGCAGGGGCCACCCGAGGGAGTTCACGCCACACTACGGCTGTGCGAGGCCAGGACAGGGCCCTTCCCTCCCTCCCCTACTGAGAGCAGGTTCTGAGAAGGGATGGGAAAGGATGACAGCCATCCAGGGAAGCCAGACCCCACCACCGGAGTCTCAAGCCAAAACCACTGCCCCCTACCGGTCTATTAGTATTAATGATGGTTTCATCATAATAAGGATGGAAGTGAAATAGGTACAAAGGTGTCTAGCTTGAACAGGATCAGATTTCAGAGGAACCACAGAGCTGATCTGATTGAAATGACTCATTGTGTGGTAAAACCCAGAGAGGGGAAGGGACTGTCCTCGGTCACACAGCTGGTAAACCGAGGTGCGGTCCGGCCTTGACCTGGGGCCCTCTGACTCCTTGTCCAGTACTCTCATCTCAGCATAGCTGGAAACAGCGGTGTTTCCGCCTTGGACACAGTGATGTTACTTAAGATCTGGCCCACATTTTTTTCTACTTCTCCCATATCCCCTTATACCTGCACAAATGAAATCACAGGATTTTTCTGAGTCCCAGATCAGTCAGTCTGTGCCAGCCGGTGGTGAACCGGTGGTGCTGTTCAGGGGAGACCCAGGCCAGGAGAAAAGGGAACAGCTGATTGGTGTTTGTCACCACGAAGCTCTTGCCTCGTAACACATCGGGCCCCCAGCATACTGCATCCCTGGGAGAGGGGCCCAGCGGGCTCTGTCCCCTCCGCCCTGACCACAGGGCTCTGCGAGGGAGCAGGGCCATGGAAGTTCTGCCCCCGGATCCGCCGGGCTGGAGTGCAGCACATGCAAAGACTTCAGTGAAGCAATAAACACAAAACTCTGGGAGAAGAAATCCAGAATTTTGTGCACGTCTCTTGTTTCTCTTTCAGAAAGGATGCAGGTCAGACGACTCTGCCCTGCCCTCCTCTCTGATCCCCAGATTCAGCGTCCTCAGTCAGTGTCGTCCCCTGCCCGGCTCCCAGCTCTCTGCCAACCTCGTGCCCCCCTGCACTGAGCCCCGGTCGCCTGTGCCGTGGCCGCGTTCTGTCCTGCCCCTCACCCCCCACGCTGGGCCCCAGGGGCCTCTGGCCCTGCAGCCTCCCCAGCACACACGTTTTCCAGTTTGTTCCGTTCAGCGGGAAAATCTTTTCCAAATGTCTCCATCCCTTCCCACATACCCACACACCCACAAATTGGCCTGATCTTTTTTTCCCATTGGTTAAAAATTTAACTCACCATGGCACACCTTGTTTTAACCCCTCTCACATCGTGTTCTTTCCTTTTTTTGAGTTATTTTGCATTAACCAACGTTGTCAGCGACAGATGCGTATCTGAGGGT